TGTGATGGAGCACTGTTCTCTCAGAAAATGAAATTTCTTTCACATTGTTTTTTATATTCTTGAGGAGTCCTTTTTACCACCTCATGTCATTAACATTCAGAGTATATTTTTGCTCCTGGTTCAAAAAACAGGGCCTGTATGGTCTTTCCTTTTGGGAAACACCGAATGGACACCACCTACCTTTCAGAAAATGTCATCTCGATTTGAGTAGCTTTTATCGCAAATGTCACTATTCTCGCTTACTGATATAGAGTATAGCCTTTTGATTACATGTATAGTACTTGGGGCATTTAGAACAGTTGGCCTATGGAGATCCCTAGCCCATCAGGGGTGTAGACATACTGAAAGAATGAATAATTAGGTGTTGGATGGTACTTCTGCAGAGGTCCATCAATTATACCAATGGCTTTCGCGTTTTAAGCGAGAAATCAAATCAGAAGTTTGGTCCGGGGGTGAGTCTATTGAGCCATATTTGGACAGACTGAAGAAGAAATGAATTAGTTTTATAAGCATACACATGTATATTGAGCTTACAAGGTTCAAAAACTGAATGAAAACAATATATAATATCCAATTATGAAAGACTCATGACAATGTTGTAATTTACTAAAATTTGGTAGAAATAGGCAATTGTTCGCATAATTGACGAAAATTGAAAAGGTGTTTTTTGACCCCCATGTCACATAAATGGTTATATCTCGAGCCAGAGTTGTTCAGAATTGTTCTATTATATATCATTCTGTTGCAAATTAAACTATCTTTAAAATGATATATCACTGTTGGTGTGCATGTTAAAAATTGAATATTTATCAGAAATATTGGCTAGGGGATGGTTTCTTTTGGCCCACCCTGTATATATTTGACTAAATGGTTTTGTACCAGTTATACATTTTATGAAATGATGTGAAAAAATAATTTACGATTTATGCTATCGTATATAAATAAATGTCAATGTCACAATTTCAAACTGGAAAGGTTCTATATGGAAATACATATTACAGCATTTCTCCAATGAAAACATAATCAAGTCGAAGTGTCAGTTGAAAATTCGACCTGTAATAGGATCGATTCAAACCTCTCTTCTGCAGGCCTAAATAATGGAAATGGTATAAATCTAAACTCAATGTGTCGATCCTATCGTTTAAACACCAATTAAAACAAAAAAGTTAGTATATATTTATAGTAGTATATATTAATAATGGTATGCTTATATTTGTGAGATTGTATAACAGAAATGGATTACCACATTTTTCATGTTACATACAGTTCAGTTTGACGACGGTCTCTTGCTGCAAATAGCATCACAATAGTAAAATGAGATTCTTTGAGTCCCTTCAAGGGATTAACTGTGTGTCAAAACGTAACATATTGATGCAAGAAAAATTAAGCAAGGATGGAAGGGGTTGAAAATCAGGAAAACATTTCAGAAAAAACATGCGGGTGGGTTGTTTGCATCTACCCTGTCTCAAAGTCGAAATTATTTTATCATCTCTAGAAGTGATTTTCCTGGAGGTAATGCATTGGCCTAACATATGCACCTGTTAAGATCCACAGGAAATGGCCAAAATCAAACATATGACTGTCCAAAATCTGTTGCGCTAACTTCCCTCCTCCTTTGCATAATATATATGGTCAGGTATAGAGCTACGAAAACACAATGCCAAAATGAAAGTATATGGGGAATAAGCAATGCCACCCCTTCTCGGGACAGAATGTGAGAAATTGAGACTTTATAATTAATTTCAATATGAATGAGAGATCGGTTAATATTAAAAGTCATTTTACAATTTATTATCTGTTTTACAATTGTACAAGATTGTTGGAACTCGTCTCATCAGTAACTCCCATGTTAGTGTATCCTATGTTACAGTTGCGATTATGCTCATTTACATTTTTACTTTGTTCTTTGCATGTGCCATTGTAAATTACATCGCTTGAATGTGCAACATCTTGTGAATTTACTTTATCATTTAGATTAATGTCGCTCATCTTTCGGACTTCAAATAAATCATCCGGAAATGGTAATTCAAATGTCGCTTTCGAGTCTTCTGGTGAGTGTTTTTCAAAACTGCTCATCTTGCGCATGCGCAACATTTCATCAGGGAGTGGTTTTTCAAATCCTTCACGACCAACTAGCCAGTAAGTTGTCATGCTACCTTTACCCTTTATATTTATTTCCCCTCTGCAACAGCATTCATATTGTTCGCTGTCTTTCAATGCGTTATATGTATATGGACTGATATGGATTCTAAGTGCTGAAAAATAAGAATCATCATATTGCTAATTTTAGACATTTGATTGATAAATACTCATTTTGACTCCTCTATATGTCCCTTTCTTACTATCATGATATGGAATGCAAAGTTTAAGAAACGACGCTGAGTGGAATGAAGCAGCTTCAATGCATTGAATCTTGGGCTTAAATTCTTTTCACACATTGCAATTTTTTCTATTAAATCATCTAAAAGGAACGAAACCACCAAAAGTACACATTTTCAATGAATCTTTTTGCAAGGGTCAAGTTGGCAAATCATCAAATCCAATGTGAAAATTCCATTCATCACCATGACAGCTGATTAACTAGTGGCCTTGCATGTGTTATTGATATTTCACACACTGTTCATTATGTGAATACTCTGTTCGGATTGGCTGGAATCGGACACACCTTGCCTAGCTATATGTGAAATCAGTTAGATGCATAGCTTATTGGTCCCTGGCAAAACAATCAATTTCCATGGAGAAAAATCCAATAAAACACACAGTTAATGAAACAAAAACAAGAATAACGTAAAACATGCGTGCAACGCAATTTACATCACTATACCATTTAAAAATCCTTACGGAGACTAATTAAGATCTTGGCTAGAATAAAATGTCTTGACATCAATTTTAGATTATTGAGTTACTAATACAGCACTTTCCATTCTATAATCAATCTGATTAAACAAATTACATCTGCTAACTTTTAATATAAAGATCATACTACCCTCATTATCCAATAAGTTGTAATTAAAATTTCAAAATAACACCAGTCAACCACTGGTTTGTGTTTTTATCATTTATTTTTTATCTGTTTGTTGGTTCACATGTTTCGATGTTTGTTGAATTGATGTAATTTTATATTGTGAGTTTTATATTTGCACGTTGATTGTACTCTTCTAAATAAGGAGGAATAAAAGGCAATACAATACAATACAATACAATACAATACAATACAACCACCAAGTATTTACCGTGGTTTTCATTCATAATTCATGCGTACCGGTAGTTTTTCAGATATCAGCTGTGGATTTTTATCCCGTACTTGAATCCATCCCATAAAAAAATACAAAAAAATGTCAGACGAACGGTTCAATGAAAATTCCAATGAAGAAAACTATAGAATAAAGTCACCATGACAATTTACTTAGAAAATACAATTAAGGCCAGGTACATATGTGCGGGTATGTGCTATAACGGTTTATGAACTGTTCATACAGTTGCTCTCGCAAATCATATGACATTCACATACAGTTGGGGACATAAGTAAATGACAGGTGGATTTGCTGAAGTGAGGATTTCCCATGTTAAAAATAAGAGAATTTACAAGAGGCCATAAATCAGTGGATGAGATTATACAAAATGTAAAATATACAAATTTTAAGGGATATGTATCTAGACAATATTGGAAATTATAGGCTTTCAGACCACCATAATTAGGAAATGGTGATCGAAAATCGACCTGTCATTTATTTTTGTCCCCAACTGTAGAAGGTCGATTTGAATTTTATATAAACTACTCATGAGTTCGAATCATCTTTGTTCTTGCAAGATATTCCCAATAACAGAGTGGTGAACATAACAGTGAATAATAATAAATATTTCATCCTATTTTTGGTGAATAGCTGTTGCACTTTCAATGATTCTGCAAGGTGAATTTACATGGTCCTTTGGAGAATTCTCCTCGCTTAAGGTGCTATGGAAGTTAACAGGAAATGACAAAACAGGAAGTGACAAAGCCATGCTGGATTTTGAAAATTTTATGAACCAAGATAACAGAGTTCTGTTTGGACCTCCAGTCAGTTTAACTAGTTCCACATATCATTTACATGACCGGGAACACAACGGATAGTCAGAATGACCATAAACATGATGAAATAACCTTTTCAGCCCTCTGAAAATGTGCCTGAAAAACAGCTAAGAGTAGGTGCTCAGGAAAGGTCACTGAACAGAATCTTTTGACTTTTTCAGAAAATCTGCCCAATATATTGCTTAAAATGATACAATTTAAAAAAATCTGATATCATTCTTAGAAAAAGAAAAAAATGAAAAAAACTGGATTGAAAATCGATCTATTTACCTTTTTACTACAGCCATTATTGTTTCAGACAATTTTTTAAAATTTCAAAGATTGTATCATTTAGAGCAATATATTGGACACGTTTTCTGAAAAAATCGAAAGATTCTGTTCAGTGACCTTTCCTGAGCACCTACTTTTAGCTATTTTTCAGTCACATTTTCAGAGGGCTGAAAAGGTTATTTCATCATTTTTATGGTCATTCTGACCATTTCCATTGTGTTCCCAGTCATGTAAATGATATGTGGAACTAGTAAAACTGACTAGAGGTCCAAACAGAACTCTGATATCTTGCTTCAAAAAAATTTCAAAATCCAGCATGGCTTTCTCACTTCCTGTTTTGTCATTTCCTGTTAACTTCCATGGCACCTTAACTCATTGAAATTTGAATTGTATTCACCTCATAAGAAAGAAGGCCCATTTGTTGTTATATTCAGAAAAATGGGCACAAAAAATCAACATACACCATAAATGATAAGTCATTGGTCTATTCACTTTGCGGTCGCATGTGGTTTGCACTTATCCCATTTAATGTTGACCTAAATGTATTCGTCAAATAATTATATACCTGTAGTATATCCCTAATTGAATATTCACCGTTCATATTTTGTACGCAAATATTGATCCCTGGATATTTTGTACACTACCCGGGATACACTACCACTAAAACGGCATCGGATGGAATGCAGCTAAAAGTTTTTAACCACGTGTGGTATTTTCATAAGAAATCAGAAACCGAAATTACCGAACTATGACTACGACATTGTGGAATCCTAAGGCATTTGGAGTCACCCTTTGCATTCGTTCGACTTCACTTCTTAAAAGAGAGCTTCATCTCCAGTCGTAGTTTATAACTAGACTCTGCGCGCTTGGTACTTTGGAGCACTACAGCTCTCAAGATAAAGAGGAACTCTGATAAACCAGAATTCAATGGCAACAAGACACTCCAATTCATCAATATATGTTGATGCGCGGGTGCCCAGGCGACTCTAATGAGATTAACGGAGATACACATTCCGAGAGCAATCCTAAGAAACAGGTTGCTGGTGCATGGTGTGACACGACTCATGAGATTGTTAAGAATGCGAAGGCGGAATAGATTTCTGGTAACAACGTCGTTGATTGCCTTGGTTGTACTAACATGCCGCTCTATATTCCTACTGGAAGGAGGTTACAGCTTAGAAGTAATGGCCAGAAATGATTTCTCCAAAAGTTGGAGAAATAAGACCTTCTCTATTGGAGAGATACCAGAAAGTGTAACATCTCCAACGCCATTAATTTCAACTGCGAATTACTTAAAACATTACTTTAAGGATGATTCACCGGAGATTGAAGACAACAAACGATTTAAACATAATGGTGCCATAAAGGAATCGCACCTGGATGATTCCAAGCCAGTAGACGAACATGTTGAACCATTTAAACGTCCCAAAGACATGAACCAGAACCTGATCATGTACAACAGATTACCAAAATGCGGATCAGAATCGTTAATGGCTATAATGAAACGTCTTGGAAGAATGAACATGTTCAACTATAAACATTCACTGACGTATCACAATTGGAGTTTGGATGTTACATCTCAAGGAGAATTCGTCCAGTCATTTGATAACCTAACCTCCGTGACTTTTACGTGCCCGAGAAACTACGGAGCATCAACGATATTCATAACAACAACCAAAACCGATGAGATTATTTATGTATGTCAACCAAGCTCATGGACTACTCCGTTAAAGTGCATATATGATCGACATTTGCATTACGTAGATTTTAAACAATTTGGACGGACGCCTCCATTGTATATCAACGTGATTCGAGATCCGCTCGAGCAGGCAGTTTCGCTTTATTATTTTAACCGATTAAAAGGTCGACTTGGCCGCCAAGGAAAATATACCGAACGAGAGAGGGCGCAATCATTTGATGAGTGTATACGGGAGAATGTTGACAACATGAGTGTATGCGATGTACATCATGATCTTTATGTTCATTGGTTCTGTGGCCATAGTGATGTGTGTTCGAATAACATGGAAGCAGCCATCAAGATTGCCAAAAAGAACATCAACGAACATGCCCTTGTTGGTCTAGCAGAGGAGTTCAACAATACACTCAAAGTATTAGAGAAAATTCTCCCAGAATACTTCGAAGGGGTATCCATGATGGACCACGTGCGCGTAAACGCTCGTGTTAGCGCATCTACGACTGGAACCGAACTTAGGCCATCTGTCGTTGAGTTAGTAAAAAGAGAACTCATATACTCCTATACAATTTATAAATATGTTAAACTGAAATTTCAAAAAACATTAAAGGCCTTGTCTATTGATTAATACGTCAAATCATATTGTAGATCTCTAAAGATGTACTAAAACAATAGTCAGAATCTCTTTTTAGCTTGTAGCTTGCACAAAAAACTCTTTTGTTATTTTAACCCAAAAGCTCGTGATAGTTCCCTGCAAAACACGAGTTATACTGTCAACTTCTGATTTTGAAATGTTGTTATTTTTGCGGATTTTTTGAAGTCATGTGACCATGACAGTGGAAGCACAGTGTACAAAGTTATTTTGGCACGAGATCTAAAAGTTGTTGTCGCAAACTACTATGAAGGCGAGACCAAAGTAAAAATACATATATAAAATTTTTGTTTTGATCAATTGAACTACACAACAAATCCAGTGGAAAGAGCACTGTAAAATTATTCATTACAAATTCAAAAAATTGATTGAAATACATGTATAACTAAAAAAGTTAAGCCAATGCTCATATTTTTGGCCTTACAGCTTAACATGCACTATAAAACAACACACATTGATGGGAAGGTGTGTCCGATTCCAGCCAATCCGAACGAAGTATTTCATCTAACTACAGATTGAAAATGATGCTTTACAAACTTGACCTTGCAAAAACTTTCTTTTAGTAATTTCACTGCTATCCACCTAATTACACAGACGTATCGTCGGTGTATCATGGCGGAACTTCCTCCGGGACTAGGTTTCGGTAAGATTTTTTTATTTCCCGATTTACACCTACTTATAAGTCACGTTGTGGATAATAATTTGGCTCGAAGTTAAGGAAGATAGTCTAGTTTGAGAATGTGTCGATGGTTTAAGGTTTTATATGTTAACAAAGACACAATTCACGTATTTAGTCCCTCGCTTTTCTTACACTGACGATCGGCATTAATATTGCCAATATTACACTGATCTTTTAGGCGATTTCGTTTTCACACTCAATGCTGCACATCTCGTGCAAAGTTTGAAATAACACCTTTTTGATGAATTCTTCAGTCCACATTGCACTTAGTCCAGGGCTTAATTAAATACGTTGCTGTTAACTGTTGTTGCGAAAAAAAGTTGGGCCTCTAAATCCCAATTTTGAAAATCTGAGCCCAAGTTCTAGATAATTTAGCCTATAAAGTCCCAAAAAGGCCAAGTAATGCCCGAAAGGCATTGAGGCCCTACAAAACTTTCGCCCCCTGGATCCACCAGTGATATGTATAATGTCTATTGTTATTTTTCCCCTCAAACTTTTATTTATGAATAGAAAAAGAGCTGAACATTCTCTTTGGGGAAAATAAGTCCTTATTGCCCAAATATTCTTAATGTCAATGAACATCCTGCCTCGATCATCAATAACATTTTGTCATAAGGAGTTACAAAAAATTATGAACGACATCAAACACACTTTCTGCAAACGAGTTAATATGGTTTGAATCACTTAAGGTCAAAGTTGACTGATTTGGTCCACATTGCAAGTTTGTAACATTTAAGAAACGTTACTCAATATTTTCCCATTTCAACTCTTTTGAAGAAACAACCTAACCATGATGATCATGATGAACATTCGCAAGTTTTTTAAACTTTAAAGTAGAAGCACATCCAGCTATTGGGACTCTTAAAAATCCAAATCCAACTGTCTTCATCTATTCACTCATTTTTTGTTTTCAGCTTGTTGAAATAAGACATAACAGAAACATACCATTTTAAATTTAAGATTTAAATAAAATCGATGGGTGATATGTAATTTCTGTATGACCGCTGATTGCTAGGAAAAATGTGAAAAAGTACCCTGCGTGCAGAGTGTAGTGAAGACGAAACTCTCTTTTAAGAAGTGAAGTTAAACGAATGCAAAGGGTAGTGAAAAAGGAAAATAAGCGGGGAAGAAACCCGATTGTTCAAAGATGACATGCGTCTATAATAATGTAAATCTGTATTGAGATGACCCACCGTCCTGATTGGTCTAAATGGACAAACAAAAATGGAGAATTAAAAATTTTCTAATAACGCTTCGAATAATATTATGTTACTTTCTGGCGTGTTAGCCAATGTCATAGCTTGTTAAATCACATCAAGATAAAGGAAGATGTGAGAAACATGCTAGCATCGATTAAAACATCACAACGACGTTTCAAAAACTAACTGTTGAGAATTTGCGCAAAGGAAGGTAAGCAAGAGGGACGTAATATGTCTGTCATCGCTAAAGCTCTTGGGTTTCCCTCCTCTAAAGGTAAATAAATTAAACTATAATATAGATGTCATGTGAGTATGAAGTCATTGCAATCGTTCAAAATTGTTAAATATCCATTTACTTCGAATTCTATATTCTTTCCACCGCTAAATACAAAATTGAATTCTCCCAAGTACTCCCAAGTTCTCCTAAGTATATTGTATTTGGCCCTGCCGTTTATACCAAGAATGCTAACGTATCATATAAAGCCATATTTTGAATTAAAAGTAGGTCGAATATTACAATTTTCATTTTAATAATTTTAACCACCAGAGGCCCTTTGTAATAACATTGGTCTAATTATTAACAGATAGCGTGAAAAAGGTACAATAGTCTTGCCTCAAAACCCCCTCCCCCATCTTCAACAACTGTTTTTGAAGTAGATAAGGGGAAGGGAGGGGTACAGGGTCTTGAAGCAAGACTGAAGGTACAGCAGGATAAAATATTTCGGGTTATAGTCTCCGTAATGAAATGCATATAGACTGTTATGATGCAGATTATATGGTACTGCAGTATGAGCATGCACTCCCCTTCATAAGTTAAGCAAGCAGAAGTTCCCTTTTGAATCAAGTATCAAAGTCTGCCTACGGATTGTATTTGTCATCGAATTATTGCAATCAAGGAACAAAATTAAGATTCAAACGATGATAGTGTAAATGATTCTCTAAAGTAAATAGGAGTATCGATTGCCAAACCATTGGAGGGGGTGTATGCCATTCAAACATAACCTTGAATGTGTAAATGATTCTTTAAATAGGAGTATCATTGCCAAACTATTGGAGGGAAGTGTATACAATTCAAACATCTTAACCTTGAACAGTAACTAATGGAGGGGAGTGTTTGCCATTCAAACATAACCTTGAATGTGTAAATGATTCTTTAAATAGGAGTATCATTGCCAAACTATTAGAGGGAAGTGTATACAATTCAAACATCTTAACCTTGAACAGTAACTAATGGAGGGGAGTGTATGCCATTCAAACATAACCTTGAATGTGTAAATGATTCTTTAAATAGGAGTATCATTGCCAAACTATTAGAGGGAAGTGTATACAATTCAAACATCTTAACCTTGAACAGTAACTAATGGAGGGGAGTGTTTGCCATTCAAACATAACCTTGAATGTGTAAATGATTCTTTAAATAGGAGTATCATTGCCAAACTATTAGAGGGAAGTGTATACAATTCAAACATCTTAACCTTGAACAGTAACTAATGGAGGGGAGTGTTTGCCATTCAAACATAACCTTGAATGTGTAAATGATTCTTTAAATAGGAGTATCATTGCCAAACTATTAGAGGGAAGTGTATACAATTCAAACATCTTAACCTTGAACAGTAACTAATGGAGGGGAGTGTATACCATTCAAACATAACCTTGAATGTGTAAATGATTCTTTAAAGTAAATAGGAGTATCGATTGCCAAACCGTTGGAGGGGAGTGTATGTCATCCAAACATAACCTTGAATGTGTAAATGATTCTTTAAAGTAAATAGGAGTATCGATTGCCAAACTAATGGAGGGGAGTGTATACCATTCAAACATAACCTTTAATGCGTAAATGATTCTTCAAAGTAAATAGGAGTATCGATTGCCAAACTAATGGAGGGGAGTGTATGCCATTCAAACATAACCTTGAATGTGTAAATGATTCTTTAAAGTAAATAGGAGTATCGATTGCCAAACTAATGGAGGGGAGTGTATGCCATTCAAACATAACCTTGAATGTGTAAATGATTCTTTAAAGTAAATAGGAGTATCGATTGCCAAACTAATGGAGGGGAGTGTATGTCATTCAAACATAACCTTGAATGTGTAAATGATTCTTCAAAGTAAATAGGAGTATCGATTGCCAAACTAATGGAGGGGAGTGTATACCATTCAAACATAACCTTGAATGTGTAAATGATTCTTCAAAGTAAATAGGAGTATCGATTGCCAAACTAATGGAGGGGAGTGTATGCCATTCAAACATAACCTTGAATGTGTAAATGATTCTTTAAAGTAAATAGGAGTATCGATTGCCAAACTAATGGAGGGGAGTGTATGCAATTCAAACATAACCTTGAATGTGTAAATGATTCTTTAAAGTAAATAGGAGTATCGATTGCCAAACTAATGGAGGGGAGTGTATGCAATTCAAACATAACCTTGAATGTGTAAATGTTTCTTTAAAGTAAATAGGAGTATCGATTGCCTAACTAATGGACGGGAGTGTATGTCATCCAAACATAACCTTGAATGTGCAAATGATTCTTTAAAGTAAATAGGAGTATCGATTGCCAAACTAATGGAGGGGAGTGTATCCATTCAAACATAACCTTGAATGTGTAAATGATTCTTCAAAGTAAATAGGAGTATCGATTGCCAAACTAATGGAGGGGAGTGTATACCATTCAAACATAACCTTGAATGTGTAAATGATTCTTCAAAGTAAATAGGAGTATCGATTGCCAAACTAATGTAGGGGAGTGTATGCCATTCAAACATAACCTTGAATGTGTAAATGATTCTTTAAAGTAAATAGGAGTATCGATTGCCAAACTAATGGACGGGAGTGTATGCCATTCAAACATAACCTTGAATGTGTAAATGTTTCTTTAAAGTAAATAGGAGTATCGATTGCCAAACTGTTGGAGGGGAGTGTATGCCATTCAAACATAACCTTGAATGTGTAAATGTTTCTTTAAAGTAAATAGGAGTATCGATTGCCAAACTAATGGAGGGGAGTGTATGCCATTCAAACATAACCTTGAATGTGTAAATGTTTCTTTAAAGTAAATAGGAGTATCGATTGCCAAACTGTTGGAGGGGAGTGTATGCCATTCAAACATAACCTTGAATGTGTAAATGTTTCTTTAAAGTAAATAGGAGTATCGATTGCCAAACTAATGGAGGGGAGTGTATACCATTCAAACATAACCTTGAATGAATAAATGATTCTTTAAAGTTAATAGGTGTATCAACGTGTGATTCTACATGCCACTTGCCGACTATGAACATCTTAAAGATAAAATAACAATACTCTAGATGAAGGTCACACCGATCTTTCTACAGTGTGTATTGTATATGTATTCACAGCAGAATATAACACACGCAGATTTAGAATGGGTATGTAGATGTTTTAGGTAATGTTACTACTAATTTCAATCTTCCGTTGATTTTACAGAATTGAGCAGATAGGGAGAATTTATTAGAAGGAACCAGATTAACAGGTATCATCAGTACCTGACATTGGGATATGATGAACATGGAACGTGTATATATAAACAATATCGAACGCACAAAGTACGTTCAACGAGCGCCCCTTGTGTAGTAAAGCACTGCTTTATACACATCACGTATATATTACCATACAAGGGGCGTTCTAAAAGTAAGATGGCACATTTCGGTTCTAGATCTCACTTGTGCAATATGTGTAATATGTTATAAAGTACAAATACTATACAAGGGGCATTCTAAAAGTAATGTGACACATGGCTGCTCTAAAGTCGTTTTTGCATTGTGTTTTAAAGGAGAGTACTCATACACAGATGGGGAGCTCCGAGTGAACCTCCAGATGAAGGAAGATTTCAACGACAATGGCTACATCCTCGTACGGTAAATGCAATGTTTATCACACGCCTCACTTTTTGATTTTTTGCTCTCAAGGTAGTTCCGCACAAAAAATCGTTGTTTTTAAATTGAAGAAATGTCATTTCAACATACATTTGAAACAAATATTTTGCTTTTGAGTAATGTATTTCCTCATATCGTGTAGATATTTACATACAATAAAATGAATTTTGAAAAATATTACCCATTTCATTAATGATTTGTAATTGTAACATGAAATTTTCATGAAAACCTCCTCATGCATATCTACCTTAAGAGTAAATTGCAATTTGTTTTTCTATTGTTTTTACAAGTGGGGTCCTTACGCCCGAAGAGTTAAAAGTTGTTCGCACATCCATAGAACATCCCGATGGAGTCACCAAATACGCAGTAGAGGTACCATGGTTGAGTTTTTAAAAGGGAAAACAACAAATTATGTTGGTGCATTGAAAAATAATACTTTCACCAAAAATTAAGCTTAGAGCAAACTGGTACATGTAGTATACAATGCAGTTCCGTTGACTGTCGTGTACGTCATTCAAAATGTCGTATCTAATTCTGACCCTAGTGGTTTTTCATTCATAAAAAGGCATCACGACGATGCAACAATTTTGATATCTTAAATTTGTACCTTTTAAAGTTGAGGAAATTTGCATTGGGCTCACATCTTCCAGTTTTCTGATGGTGATGGTAAATTCAGTAAAATGTCACTTTGGAATCATCCCGGAAATGACGTCACTGGTGTCGTTGGAAAATGTCAAAAGGTGGCGGGTGTGATGGCAGAGGTAAGCTAATTTGTTGAGTAGTCAATATGTTGTATATTTAGCAATTTTGTTTGTCCGTGGCTGTGTTTTTGTTACACGCTGTCCATAAAGAATATGAGAAGAGCAATTCGCGATAGAATAAAACATGGTCATTATTATAAATATCTCCCACAATGCATCGCGTCAAGGGCCAATTCTTTGTTGGTCCATCGATCGGATATAGAGCAAGAAAGTTGAAAGAATTAGAGTTATTCAAATTTCTAAAGTTTCATGTTAGTGATCGTATTAATGTTTTCAGCTTCTTGGAGGGGAGGTTTACCACTACCATACAAAGTTGATGATGAAAGAGCCTCACACAGGTGGCAAATGGAACTGGCATCAGGATTATGGGTATTATAGTGTTTGTTTTCATACACCTAGTTTCTAGGTTCTGCCAAATCCGTGCCAAATTAAGCGATACACTGGTGATAGAGGTTTTAAAATTGATGTTTAAAAATATTTTTGGCAATGTTCTCTAGAGCCCCAGTAGGTATCTTCTATGCATGGCCGGTTCGAGAGGGTTTAACTGTCAGAAAATATGTGTTGTTCCCTCGGTCCCTACCCTCGAGATAAACCCTGTATTCAAAACTTATGTTTTAAAGGCTTGGACGCATATCAAAATAGTATTTTATCAGCCTGCTCTATTCACCTAAATCTATACCAGCCAAAATTAATGTTAGTTTGTCCAGTAAACACGTGGGTGTGTATGATGTATTCAGTATTTTGTGATGTTGTACGTGCATTTCTTCTATCTCCAGGTACTGGTACCAAAATGGCTGTTTATTTCCGGATATGGCCACCGTCTTTATAGCCATTGATCCGAGTACAAAGTCAAACGGGTGCTTAAACGTCATTAAGGGCTCTCATAAGTGTGGCCGGGTCGAACATAAAAAGGTTGCAGGTCAAACTGGTGCAGACGTTGAACGTGTAAATCAAATCATGAAATTTCCAGGAATGGAATTAACAGAGGTTGAAATGCAGCCAGGTAAAGATAACTGTCTAATATTAAAAGATTAATAGATATTAGTGTATATGACAATCGTTGAGCTTGGCGATGATCGACAAAGATGTGGACGCTCTGCATTATGAACGCTGACCTACTTTCACCAAGTAGGCTACAACTATAAGATTATGAATTGAGAATTTTGGCTATACAGGATTGCTTGTAGTTTTTATATTAATATACAGGGTGTCCCAAAAATTGTACCAAGACAAACAAGGAATCGAATAACCCTGTGAGTGATGAAGAAATATTCTTGAAATTTGGATGAAAATGAATTATCTATATCATGTTCAACATTTCTCTGTTAAAGTTCAACTTTTCTCTTTGAAGCTTTTCTCTATAAAGTTCAACTTATGTTTATAAACTTCAACTTAACATATTCATTGAGGTACATTTTCTTGGAATTCCCGGTATTTCCCTCAAAGTTGAACAAATAATTTTGATTCCAATTCAGGCGATGCACTGTACTTTCATTCCAATCTTCTCCACACGAGCTCCCAAAACCTGAGCCCAAACCGACGTTGGGCGTTTCTTTGTGCTTACAACAGACGCAGTAACGACCCAGTTATAGTTCACCATCATCCGCAATATACGCCATTAGAGATAGTCGACAACAGCGCCATCTTAAGTTGCACTAACAATGTGGATATGGAGGGAAAAGACTTTTACCCTCCCGAGAAGGGGATACGATGGCAGGTGCTTGAAAAGGTAGGTCCTGGTAACTGAGAGGTTTAATTAAGTAACACGTTTTAATTAACATAACTTGTACGTGAGCGTGTAAGTTATGACACCCTGTCGATTAGTTGTCCCCTTCGTAGTATTTACTTGCCAAATTGGTTTAAAGGTAAAAGCAAAATGTGTTGAAAATAGATTCACGAAAACAACAACTGAGAGGTAGGAAGTAGATCTATAGATACAGTATAGAGTTTGACAAAATTGCAAGCAACGTGTCAAATCGACTACCAATGTATTCCATGTAATCTCAAATATGATACATCCAACAAGATACGCGCATATGTTATCAATTGCTAGTGAAGAAGATTCAAAGTGCAAAAATATCTACAATATTTGAATCGAGTAAAATGGTTTGAGTACAACGTTAAATTCTCCCAAATATTAATTTAATGTGTTGACCAACATAGAGAAATGAATACATTATAAATATCGACGTGAAGCAAAATATTTAAGAATTGTGCCAATTTTTAAACACATTCTCAACTCGTCTTCATTCTTATATTTTCAGCAAAACGAAATAAAGGATGCACAATAGACTCAGATCCAGGTACGGACCAATCAGAGTGGAGTATTTGATATAAGCATGCGCAATCAACACAAGTTCCACGTGACACTAGTATAAAACAATGGATTGACGAACATCCTGATTTCAGTTGCTAACTCTTATATATAGCCATCTTGGCCAAAACAACAATCAAAAGTCAAAAGAACGACTCTATTTTGCCCAGGGTTTCTTTACCATTAAAAATGTGTACGTGCCTGAAGTGGAAAAAATTAAAACAATTTTGGTCACATGAGGTTCATGGGTTAGATCATTAACCGCTTATTGTTTCATTCTTTTAAGGTCAGGGTTCACTTTGGAATTTTTTGCAATTTTGAAAAGTAAACCACTGAATATTCTAGTTATTCAAACATTCTGAAGAGTTATAAACCCTCAATCAATAGTCTAGGTACACGAATACACCTTTTGTGCAAGAATGAAAGATGTAGATTGTGTGTGGAATGAGTTATGTTTATCTGAAAATAGCACATGGTCATGAAATTCATCATAGTGCACCCTGACCTTAAGGAATGTCTCGTTTCCAGACTTCGAATGCGACAACACGAGTTCAAAGGCTTAAGCCAATGTCATATGGTATAATACGTTGTTTCTTTAAATGGTAGATCATAGTTTGGGTTATTTGGGGTTTGCTTACCCCATGACTTGTTGTCTTTGTTGATGCTTCACTTTCTTGCTACGTTTTTTCAATATATTTTGGTATTTCCCAGTTGGAACTGTTGATGAAACTGTCAAAATGTCTCAGATAATGTTCAAAAACAATTTTGCGCTTTTCAAAATGGATACAGCATAGCTTTCACCAGTTTTACTATAAAAATGAAGAGATACAATAAAAATTAAAATGGATTTTTAAGCATATAAACTATGCACTGAACGCATCATGTTTGTCTGTTGCTTGTTGCTTTCAAATACTTAGTAAACTTTAATACTTAAATAAACTTTAGTACACTTTAAGCAATATACCGGGTGTCCCAAAATGAGACACTGATGAACCAAATTCACTAATCATTTGTACAAAGTAGCACAATAATGTTATAAGTACTCACGTGACATTTACCTGCTCTTTTTCAGACCTTCGTAGTTTGCTAATGATATTCTTGGGCTACTTTGTATGCATTTTCAGAATAGTGTATACACTATGTTTCATTAAATATTAAACAGTCACTAAATTATGTAATCTTTATTTCAAGACCAAACGAAGCGTCTTTTTCTCTACGACTCTGATGCGTTCACTGTAACCATTATGCTTCCCCATCGTTTCCAGTAACCTGTAAGAAATACACATCCGGGCCGTCATATTGTCCCCTCCTGATCGCTTCCTTAACCTAATACATTTACCGTAACGGTTGTTTGTATGAAATCTAATATGCAATAAACAGAGTTAAAATACAAACACGGTCGTTAGAGTAGCCTGATAGCATTTAAAGTACACGCACGCATCTCACACACTGTTCACTAGGCGGCCAATTAATCCTTGAGCATCGGGAAATCAAATCAAATCTAAGACAATGAATTCCTGTAATTCACGGGGCATTTGTTTTATTCTGACACTAGTTATCAGCTTGGATTTGTTTTGTGCTGAATCTGATACAGTCACCAGCACCCCTTGTGATTGTAAACAACTGTCAGATAATGATGACCGACTTTCCACCTCAGTCGACCAACTCGAAGAGAAAATGGCTCAACTGCAAAATAAACTGAATGAACAAGCTGAAGAAATAACAGCCTTACAAAAGCTTGTCATCAAATCTCAAGCCGATATTCATAGCTTGGAGGAGACATGTACTAAAAATTGTGAAGGAAAAGTTGGACCACAAGGAAAACGTGGAGTGCGAGGATACAGGGGACAAAGAGGACCAAAGGGACCAACCGGTGCTCAAGGGTTTAATGGTAGTCGAGGGGAAGCTGGTCCACCCGGTCTTAAAGGAAGTCAAGGATTGCCTGGTCCGGCTGGAGAAAAGGGAGAAATTGGTTCCCCTGGAATAAATGGATCGATAGGGAGACCAGGTGAAAATGGAGAAATTGGTCCCCCAGGAGTAAACGGATCGAACGGCAGACCAGGTGAAAAAGGAGCAATTGGAAGACCAGGTGAAAATGGAGAAATTGGTCCACCTGGAGTGAATGGATCGATTGGCAGACCTGGTGAAAAGGGAGCAATTGGTTCCTCTGGAGTAAATGGATCAAATGGGAATCCAGGTGAAAAGGGTTCAATTGGCCCACCGGGAATAAATGGATCGATCGGCAGACCAGGTGAAAAGGGTGCAATTGGCCCACCGGGAATAAATGGATCGATCGGCAGACCAGGTGAAAAGGGTGCAATTGGCCCACCGGGAGTAAGTGGATCAAACGGCAGACCAGGGGAAAATGGTGCAATTGGCCCACCTGGAGTAAATGGATCGAACGGCAGACCAGGTGAAAAGGGTGCAATTGGCCCAACGGGAGTAGATGGATCGAACGGCAGACCAGGTGAAAAGGGTGCAATTGGTCCACCGGGAGTAAGTGGATCAAACGGCAAACCAGGGGAAAATGGTGCAATTGGCCCACCGGGAGTAAATGGATCGAACGGCAGACAAGGTGAAAAGGGTGCAATTGGCCCACCGGGAGTAAGTGGATCAAACGGCAGACCAGGGGAAAAGGGTGCAATTGGCCCACCAGGAGTAAATGGATCGAACGGCAGACCAGGTGAAAAGGGTGCAATTGGCCCACCGGGAGTAAGTGGATCAAACGGCAGACCAGGGGAAAAGGGTGCAATTGGCCCACCAGGAGTAAATGGATCGAACGGCAGACCAGGTGAAAAGGGTGCAATTGGCCCACCGGGAGTAATTGGATCAAACGGCAGACCGGGTGATAAGGGTGCAATTGGCCCACCGGGAGTGAGTGGATCAAACGGCAGACCAGGTGAAAAGGGTGCAATTGGCCCATCGGGAGTGAGTGGATCAAACGGCAGACCAGGTGAAAAGGGTGCAATTGGCCCATCGGGAGTAAGTGGATCAAACGGCAGACCAGGTGAAAAGGGTGCAATTGGTCCCCCAGGAGTAAAAGGACAACCGGGTGAAAGGGGAGCAATTGGCCTAACAGGACCAAAAGGTCAAAAAGGAGATGATGGTTCAAGCGGTTTGTATAATCTCTAGGTTCCCCATCTATTACTATACACGTTACCACTAAAAAAATAATATGGCCATTTGTAATTATTGACTTATTTTGATTATAATCAGGTCAATCGATGTAAGTACATGAAAGTTATTGAGTGTGTAAGCAAGTGTTTATTTTTTATTTCAATTCTAATTTTGATAAATAATTATTTTGTTTCAAAGGAATTCTGCCCATGGGATATATTGTAAATCTTTAGAAACGTATAGCGTCACGTAAACATATTCCTTGAAAATGTTTAGACCATCGGGAGAGTTTGAGATTTTCTTTAAAAAAATTCGCAACTGACAAATCTTTTTTTAAATTATATTTGTTGAACACTTTCTCGCTATCAACGGGTAAAATAATTTTAACAATGAATATCATTTGATTGTTTAAACAACACAATTTGGCCGTCTTTCCTATCTTTCAGATAAATTTCGTCTCGTTCCAATATAGAATTTTTCGAGCAGAATATATCCTGTATTGCACTTCAAATCATTCAATAACTTATAATACTGTGTAGAGATTTCTTTTAAAATATTCTTAAATCATTTTTGAAAATCGAACCTGCTTTGCTTTAAAAACGGAATGAGTAAAGCCACGTCAGTATTAAAGGTTTCAATTAGAAAAAATAATGGTGAATTCATTGTATCGCATATTCACTTGTGGAATATACCATACTCACCTGCGGTTTATGCCATATTTAGTATGGCAGTAAGGTTAGTATGGCATATTCTCCCGTATCGCAAATACCATAAATATATAGCATTTTCAATTCAATTCAATTATACCTTAATATTATAGTTAATTACACAAGGTACATATAAAATAATCAATGGGTGACCGCGTAACTGTAACAACATTTCTTTGTGTATGTCTAGAAAACTGACGATAACACCCAATTTTCCAAAAGCGGGATGTTTTTTCTTAGTAATTCTAAAGTGTTTTGATTTGTGAGATTTATATTTATGGTTTCTTAAATAGCTCGTTACGCCCTCTAGACTACAACATTGCCGAGGTCCTGGATTCCCCAGTTACGACACAATGGCTTTACAAACTCTTTTTAAAATATGATATGCAGCTATGTTTTGAAATAATAAATCAATTGCTAACTCAACATACTTGAAAGCATTTGTAACAAATTGTGAAATTTATAAAAACGTTTGAATTCCATTTGCACATATGATATTGCTTAGTACTCGTAGCACTATAAAAATCGTATATTTTCGGAATTTGTTTGTAACATGTTTTTGGCATCTAGCCAAGGTAGTTGAGTCTGAACTCCCACCGATATAGAAATTAGCATTTAAATTATTTTACATGTGACATCATTGGTTCAGTTTAGCACATATATTGAACTACAGATAAATTACAGTAAATGACACATCTTGAACTATAAAAATGTATTTGAATTATTTTTAATGGTCTCTAAATGTTGTAGTGTAACTCTCTCTCTCCTCATATCTCTAACTGTGGTAGCGTGTCTCTTTTTTCTCTCTGTTTCTACTACTTCTACTTCTGATCTTTCAGCTCGCTCTTCTCTCTACCTTTCCATGACGAATTCTCCAACTCTGGAATGCCTCTCCCCAGCGCCAGGAGGATTCTTCAACTCCGGGATACGTTTCCACTCCGGCTATCGTCTCTCCGGTTCTCTTTCCAGGAAAACTGTCTCCACATTCTTCTCTATGTCTCTATGAGGACTGTCTCCACTCCATGATGTCTCTGCCACTCTCGGGGAAACTCTGCCTCAGAATATCTCCTCAATTCCCGGCTCTCTCAGCTCCACACTAAGAGGTCTCTGCCACTCTTGGGGAAACTCTGCCTCAGAAGATCTCCTCAATTCCCAGCTCTCTCAGCTCCACACTGGAGTGTGTACTGAACGGGATGATCAAGATCGCCTGATACTACGGGAGGTTTCCTCAAGTTATGGTTAAGTTTTAACCCGAGATTGCTCCTTTGATTAAGATTCCGCGGAGTTCACACACAAGGAACATCACCACTTCCGGTAATGACGGGATTAACCAAACGCCAGATGTTCACACTTTTTCCGAAATCCCCACAATATTTTTCAGTAATTTCTTATCACCTAATTGAAATTGTAAGAACCGGGGTCACACTCGCCTAGCCGTGACGTAATAAAAATACAAGGTGTTAAAAATACTATGGTATCGTATGTCCTAGACTAGGAAGTGTGTTGGTTGTTATGAATTTTAATCTTACTGATTATCAAATTGTCCTACACCATACATGATAGCACAAAAGAATATGATTTGATTATATATATATTATGTAACTGTATTATAACTACTAAAATAATATGAAATATGTACAATGATGAATATTTACAATAAGGTCTACAGAATTGTATCAGACATGTTGTCTCAAATAAGATACTGTAATAACTTCAAAAACAGTTGTCAATCTTATTAACGATGCACCAACTTGACCTTATATATATGCAAACACTCTCTACATGTGAATGCCTTACAAATAGCAACAACAGAATACTCTGCCACCTATCTTCAAATATCTAGTTAAAAGTACATGTACATCTTTCCTTACACAAACAAGACACTACCTTGAATAACAATTATGCAGTTTTCAATCTCACTATACTTATTCTCTGGGCCTACATATATCTGCTACATGTACTAACTGACCTTACAAAATCATAACAATCTGGTATGCCATCTATCTTCAACTATGTTCAAATCAGGCTCAAAAGTAACAATGCCTGTTGCACTTCAAATACAAATCATAACCCATATATTTCACAGGTTATTAAATTGAGATGCTATACAGATCCTAAAATAATGCTCAAAAAGTGGTGTTTACATGTCACAGAAACAGAAATTGAAGTGACAGATTGATCTTTAAAATCTATCTAGCGAGAAAATCACATGTTAAACTAAGCTGCTGAAACTGAAAATATCCTTCACATCAAGATACTCTTACCTAAACATAACATTCTTGCTACCTTCATGTAGATATATATCCTAAAATAGCTATCCTAACTGGACTTTTAGTCCACCATTTTAGACAATTTAGCCGCACAAATATTCAACCTAATCCTCCATGTTGTTCATGATAGCCTCTGCTGACCAAACCCCTAAATTCCGGTATTCTAATTGGCTACTAAAGCCCGGTATACACCAATGGGGCAAAATCCCACTTGCCCCATCGAGTCCCAATTTGCCCCATCGAATCCCACGAAGTCCCATGGGACCTTGATGACTTTGCCCCATCGTGCCCTATGGAGTCCCATCAAGCCCCATGGAGTCCCATCAAATCCCACCGTGCCCCATTGGTGTATGTTGGGCTTCACACAACACGTCATATGATCGAAAATCCCACGATACCCCATGGAAAGAATGAACATGTTCATTCTCGATGGGACCCCATGGGACTCCGTGGGATTTTGCCCCATCTTGCCCCATCGAGTCCCACCGAGTCCCACGTGGGACTTCATGGGACCTCATGGGACCTCGTGGGGCAAGATGGGGCAAAATCCCACGGAGTCCCATGGAGTCCCACGGACTTCATGGGGCAAAATCCCAAAAGGAGCTATAGGATCTGCAGGACCTTCAAACTATTCTGCAAACTATTCTTGCCACCAAATTCAAAAGTTGGAAAAGTTAAAGTGAACTTTATAAATCTTACAAAATAAACTAAAAAAAACTATTTGGAAAAACGTAATTTCGGGTTGAACATGGTACCCACCACTCTGGTTACCATAGCAACCATATCTCAAGAACCAATCAAAATTGAGGTCCCAAATTTTACCATATAATGTGTAAATATATATAACAGATATGTGTACCAAGTTTCATTGCAAAAGTCCTATTTTCCTTGAAGTTATGGCATCAACTGAAAAACTTTTTGAACCACCTAAGTATACCATTTAGTGTTAATGAGCAGAAGACTGATAGATGTTAATAAGGTACTTGCAAAAATATACTTAACGATACAATTAGACAAACAGAATATCTTATGCATTTCTAGGGGTTAGATATAGTAGAGTGTTGATTATTTCAATATTTCGGCAATACTATACCCATAAGATATATCCATAGTTTGTGAGATATTGTATAAGCAATAACAAAGGGACATCATTGATTGTCTGGCCGAGAAACCTATGGTATAATGCATCTTTCAGTGCGATATCTTGCCACCGGTCTAAATTTTTAACTTTTTGTGTTTACACTCTGATTGGTTTCAGAGACAACATTGCTAGACTGCAATTTTGCTAGTGATTTGTGTGGGTTCTTCCAATATTCAAACGACGACATTGATTGGGTAAGGAACACGGATGGCAAAACACCATCTATTGGAACTGGTCCCTTATATGGGGGTAATAGTGGAAGTGAGTATGAGTATTTCGATGAAGATGTTTAACTTGTTATAAGTAGATACATAGGGGACAATTCAATATTTTGCTAAAATATTATAATCAATATCTTGATCGAAATCGATTTTTGATTAACCTCTTGACTTCCATGTGTGACGAATTTCTCGTCATCTCAGAAATGACCTTGAAACCCAGATTGACGAGAAAATCTGTCTTAAAACTTTTCACTAAAATTGCTCTTATTTGAACAATTTTCATCAAATTTACCTAAAATTGTTTTTTGAAATGTGTAGAAATGATCTCTGCCATCTCATTGTACTAGGTTGAGCATCTAAAGTTGAATAGATAGAAAATCTCAAAAGGTTGCAAAAATGAAAAATTCTCTGGTTTCAACCGATTTTAGAGCCTGGGATTCAAGAGGTTAAACACAATTAAAACAACGATATATTGATCATAGAACAGTATTTTGGCCCAGAGGATATATTGAATCTATCTCTACATGCGTGTATGCAACATTGAAATAATGTTACATCAAAGTCATTTAAATATACCTGTAGATACGTTCGTCTATGTGGAAGCTTCGAATCCAGCTCCAGATAATGCCACGGCAGTGATAGAGACTCCGAAGTTTTATAGTAGCGGAACAAAAACTCTGCGCTTCCTTTACCATGCCATGGGTGAAAATATGGGAATCTTCACTGTTACAGCCCAGCCATCTGGCAGCCAAGTATTCATATTTCATGGTAAAGAAATGACGTGGTCTCTGTCTCGCCTGTTTAAATTCTTGGTTTCTTTACCCTTTGCATTCGTTTGACTTCACTTCTTAAAAGAGAGCTTCGTAGTTTAACTAGACTCTGCACGCAGGGTATGGTTTCTTGGTAATTAGATCCACAAATGATTTGTCTGTAGCCATTACACGTAATTTTTGAGACTATTTTGGACTCTTTGCCATCTTATTTTTATGAAAACGGCAATCAAAAGATTGATAATGTCTATCTCAAACAAATGTCTTTCTATTGACATCATCATGCCCTTTGGTGATAACATGTAAATTTAAATACTTCATGAATTTTCGTTTGATTCTATAAAGGTAAAGTAGACCAAAGTATCTCCGACTGGACTGAAGTAACAGAACAATTACCCAGCGGTACGACATCAGTATTATTTAAAGTGAAACTTTCGGCAGGTCTAAAACGTTACTCTTCAGACTTTGCGATTGATGATGTAAAGGTGACCAGTAACGATGATAGAGGCGGTGAAGATAAAGGTAAGAAAAAACAGATTTTAACTCTCACAATGATTCAAGGTTCAAAATGAGTCAAGAGACTGTCTGTTTTTTTGGTCTTGGTATTTTACAATTCATTGTAGAACAGTTTAAACTACCATTTTATCATCTAATGTACATAGAAGACTAAAGAGGCGATGTCACTGTTTAAATATGACTTGTTGTAATAATTTATCTATTATACAGGTTACAGCATTATACAGCTACCATCTGATACATTATGATGTCCTTTTTCTTATGATACCAAAGTTGTCTATTTTCCTTCACGGATGACTGAGTTATAAGGGATTTAAGTGACCATGTCAGAAATGAGTTTGTACCACCTTCAGCCAAGTCAATTTCATCATCATAACAAAGTGATAAGTAACAACAAACATCAGGATATCACTCATTTACTCATTTATTCCAATTAAAATTAAACATATCATATTTAACACCCCTTTTAAATCCCAATGTCCATTCAATATATTGATTCAATATGACCCCCATTCCTTTCAATGCAAATGTCTGCCCTTGATCTCATCGCACGTACTGCATCCCTGATGATGTCTCTCTGTCCCCTTAGATCCTCCACTGCTGCGACAATCCTGGCCCTTAGATCATCAACGTCTCTTGGTGGTGTTGTGAAGACTTTACCCTTGAGATAACCCCAAAGGAAGAAGTCGCAGGGTGTCAGGTCTGGGGATCTCAGTGGCCACTCAATCTCGTGGTTCAAGGCAATCACTCTTTCGTTGAACAGCGCCCTTAATCTGTCCCGAACGATAATCCGACAATGAGGAGGAGCACCGTCCTGGGCCCACCACAGTCTTCTGAATACACCACCCCATTGCTGTTGTGCTCCTGCAGCTCTGTTACAATTTCATCGTTGATCATTCTTAGGAAATCTTCTCCGTTTAGGTTGCCATTGAAGAAACATGGTCCGATGAGTGTCCCATTTCCACAAAGCCCGATCCAAAGGGAGATCTTCTCTCTACTCATGTTAACATCATAGTTGAAGGCTGGTGGTTCATGCAGTGGTGCATACTCTCTGACATTTTGGGTGTTGACTCTCCCATTCATAAAAAAGGAGGCTTCATCCCCGATGACCAAGTTATCCAAAAACAAGCAATTTTGAACGATCAGCCAACGGCAAAACTGAAGTCGTCTTGGTAGATCTGCATCAAGAAGTTGGTGATGCCTTTGAGGTTAATATGGGTACCATCTAATGTCTGTTCTGTTAAACGAAGTGTGTGGAATTCCTACACCATTTCTTCTGGTAGAGATGTGGGGGTTCCTTTCGAGCTGGTCTTGGACAATCCTGATGTGTTCATCAGACCGAGCTGTTCTTCTTCTTCCAGAACGTCCCTTGTTGAGATTGAGACTCGTTCCTTCTCTCTGATACTTCTTGATATTCTTCCAGATTGTCGACTTAGCAGGTACATTTCTATCTGGGAAGCGTACTCTAAACTGATCAGCAACCTGCTGAAGGCTCCCACTTACTATACTCTTTGATCTTGGGTCAGCTGTATGAACTTGCTATGTTGAATGCTTGTTCAGAAATGTGTATTTCGAATAGGACATGGTCTTGCATAGCCATTTTAATCCCTCATTGTTCAGCCATTCATGACAGAAAATTTGGCACAAACCAATTTCTGACATGGTCACTTAAATCTCTTAGAACTCAGTCGTCCGTGAAAAAATAAACGCCTTTGGTATCATAAGAAAAAGGACATCATAACCTATCAGGATGGTAGCTGTGAAATGTTCCTATTATTATTTATATTTGAGAAATAAGCAATCTATTGCTGGTTTTCTTTTTTTGTGACACACTGTATATAATGTAAATGACTTTTGTAAGCTAGCTTAAAACAAAATATTTCTATTAAGGGGAGAGGTGTACGATGTGAAGACTTATAAATTATATTACTTTAAAATCCAGTGATTCAGTGTGTTTAAGTACTCATTTGCATTATGTCAATTATCATCTGTAGAAAGAACATTGGTAAATTGCAACTTTGATGCTATAAACCTCTGTGGGTTCGTACAACGGCACGACGACCAAAGAGATTGGGAAAGGAGCGATAGTGGTACAACACCATCTTCTACGACAGGGCCTCAAAGTGGGGGTCACAGTGGTGGTGAGTATAACTGGGATTATTTGATAAGGTAACTGATCTTGTTTAACAATTTAGCAATGGAATTTGTTGTTTTTTGTCAAAGATCAATTACACATACGCAAATCGGATCAATAATTTTGTGATTTTTAAACTCCCGTTTTTGGACCCTAAGCCAACGTTCTCTGAATTATCCAAATTAAAATAATTCTGACGTCAAATTGGCAAATAATAGAGGACAGACAGAGGGACATTCAAGAAACCTCATATTTGGCCAGGGTAAGTATTAAAAGATGGATTGCATCGAGTGGATTGGAGTCATGTAAAAGGTGGATTGGATCGGGAATCTTCAAAATATATATATATTTTTTTTTCCATTGATATTCCTCTAAAATAACTTGAAAATATTGATTACTGGAATACTGAGAAATTATATTTTCAGTTTACTTTTAGATAATCAGCATCAGATGAATGCATCAGAACGAAGTTGATACACCCGAGTGACTCAATAATGTTACCATTTAGTTTTGGTATATTCTTTTCAATTATTACAATATTATGATTTCCTTTGTAGATAAAGTATGTACTTTGTGAAAAACTTGTATGAAATGGTGTATTTATTGTTTACTTTTGAATAAATCATGGATATTTTCGTATTAAAGTGATGCCTTGACAAACTTTCTTAATATCTCAGTTATTGATGCAATATATTCATGTATTTTACACTCTTTCACACAAGAAACATAAGAATGAATTTACTTATATGCACGATCTGTTCAGCATAATATTTAATTCAAGCTTTAAACTATGGAAATCCCATATTTTGCAGAATCCCAATTCAAACCACCTTTTACATGAGTCCAAACCACTCGATCCAATCCACATTTTAATCCTTACCTTGACCAGAGGTTTCATATTCAAGGCTGCGAGAAATATATTTAAACACATGAACAATATAACCAAAACACAAGTTTCTATGAATTGTATACTTGGCGGGTAATAGTATATGTCTACTAAAATATAACAGCTAAAACTTCATAGTCCATGGTATGACTCCGGAATATGAAGAATCTGTAACACAATATAGTGCAGCAACATTTGATCCAATATTTAAGGAGATCCGTATGTCTTGATTCTATTGAAATGCCGTTTGCTGAAAAAGTTTCTATGAATCGTATACTCGGCGGGTAATCTTTTACGTCTACTAAAATATAACAGCTAAAACTTCATAAAGTAGTCCATGGTATGACTCCGGAATATGAAGAATCCGTAACACAATATAGTGCAGCAACATTTGAACCAATATTTTAGGAGATCCATATGTCTTGATTCTATTAAAATGCCGTTTGCTGAAAAAAATTTGGGTCGAAATATTCCTCTCATTACAAGGGGTCTAAAACGTAAATACTTTCATTCGAATTTTTACGTATTTTATAAGACGCAAAACGTTGAAGTAAGCATATTTACAATAAATTGGAAATAAATAAATCATTGTGTCAAACCTAATTCTAATTTCTATGTAATTTCTAGTAGTAAATTGGTGTAATTGTATAAATGTACATTTTTCAAATATTGGTCAAGCAGATTGTGTAAATTATTTTCAAAAAATCATAATTTCAAATATATAAGTTTTATTATTTCAAAATTTTTTCAAAGAATTTATACCTATCATCGCCTGGAGTCATATGCAATCAAACGCCTTACATTTCTCTCACGACGTTACTGCTGCATATCATCAGATTTTCTGATGGTAATATATTCTTAGACATAACTGCTGGTTATCAGTAGATTTTTGGTGAAAATCAAAACCATTTTCATAAATTTGACCAGGTCTTGGTGGTTGTTTTATAGACAACTGAGTAATATCCAGCTGGGGGCAAAATAATTTTAGCCGAAGCCACAGTTAAACAATGAAGAACAATATGCCCCCTTTATTGATAGTTGACCCCTGACGGTTGCAGTCCATATCTCAAAACGCATTAAGACCCATTTTCGAAAAATTACAATAATTTTAGCATATTTCATTCTTATATAAAAACGATCATCGTTACCATTTACATCACCAGTATTGAAAAAAATATTCTAAATGTTGTTTTGCTGATTACGTAATTTTTTGTAAAGAAAAACAGCATCAAATTAACACATAATTCAGCCAAACAGCTCGAAGCATATTAAACTTATATAATAAGAAAACAATACTGGACATGTGTTGGTATGTAAATATCAGGTCAAATATCGCCGCACTATATTGCGTTACCAGCTCCTTAATCAGGCGTCCTGGGAATTTCATACCATGGTCTATACATGTAGATTACAATCTAATGATTAAATATGTTCTAACACATACGCAGATACATTCATGTTTGTCGAGGCATCAACTAATAACACCCTAGCCCTGCTAGAGGGTCAAGGCAATGCAACGATAGATACTCCAAGGTTTTCCATCGGCGGTGAAAAGACACTGATCTTCTATTATCATGCCTTTGGACAACAACTAGGGATACTCAAGGTTACTGCACAACCGTCCAACGCCCAAATCTTTATTTTTGATGGTAAATAATTTTCAATAATTGTAGATAATTGTACGGTTCTTATAAAACATAAGGCAATATAATAATCACATTGGTGTGTGTTTTAACCACATTATTGAATACCGAATAAGAAGCCACTGAGGAAAACTACATATAAACCAACGAAACTGATAAACTCATGAACAACCCATTAACATCCTTGACCATGTACTTGACCGTATAATGTATAGAATGTCACATATTGAGGGACATCCATGACGTGGAGAAAGAAGTAACAGTGTTATTGCTCAAATGATTGCTCACATTCTTTTACAGATTTAAAATACATAATTTACAAACATTTTGCATATAGTATTTGAGTAAAATACTCATACATCATAACTTACATTTAAATGTAATGTTTACAGAAATAATTATCCAATCGAACGAAGGTCTGATGCATATAGGGAATGCCCCCGTCCGTCTGTCTGGGTTAACTCGAATAACATTGGCCAGATTTTGTTCATATTTCGTACACATATGCCCTATGGGGGGTAGAAGTTCTGTTCGAAAGCCAATTTTCAAAAGGACCGCTCGTTTCAAAATGGCGGCCATTTTAGCGCCTATTTTACAGTATTTTAGGTGCAATATGTTAAACTGTAATAGCAATATGTTTTATACGTGAAAAATTATATAGGACATTAATAATGTAAGAAGCACATGGCAGCCATCTTGAGAAATGGCTATTTTACGATTTTTGCTGTAACTCGAAAAGTAGTGGAGCGATTTTGTTCATATCCGGTATGTGAATACTATAAGCATGGTACACTGTCTAATGACACTTTTTTACATTTTTTAAGATAACCGCGAAACCACTTTGGGGAGTGGTCGGCCATTTTGAAAAAATGGCCACCATTTACATGTATGCGTGTGCGATTTTGTTGAAATTTTATATGTGCCTACTTAGAAGCATATTACATTGTCTGATGACAATTAGACTAGTGAGTAACCATTTTGAAAATGTTTTATAGGAGTGTCACATATCGGATATTTTTTTGGTCGGGTCTGTCATTCCGTGTCAAGTCAGAAGAAAATTTTTTTTGACTTGCTGTTTAAGCCTGCATATTATAATTTAATAAAGGGAAATGATGGATACTAAGCATTTAATCATTCGGGAAGAACCGTAAACTATTTCCCTTTCGTAATTTATACGTAATCAAGAAATAGACAAGCCAAAAGTTTGCGGGAAACATAATAAATTTTACGATAACTTATGATATTCCCTATTGTTTTGACATGACCCGAAATTGGTAAGTAGTTGTTTGTGACCCGATCCGATACCTTCCGACCCGAGAATTAATGACTTTTTGTTAGGGTATTATTTGAAAAGTTAGTGAGTGGTGTTATTTGATAAGTTAGTGAGTGGTGTTATTTGAAAAGTTAGTGAGTGGTGTTATTTGAAAAGTTAGTGAGTGGTGTTCGACAGTGAGTAACATAAGCAATAATCTAAAGATGCTATTCTTGATGTTAATTTGAGTGCATTTACCCTTATGTCTGCAACTTTTTATACACTAAGTCGCCCCCCCCCCCCTCTGCGATATTTTTTATTATTTGTCTGGTTTCATTATTGTTTGTATTGTCAATAACCTCTTCGAAAAGTTTTGTTTTTAAAAACTAGGTCAACATAGGTCAAATCGAGGTCAATGTGACCTAGGGGCTGTACATTTTTGAAATTTTGTGATAAGTAGTCAGTTTTCTTTCACAATAATTTTTTTGTGCCAAAAGAAAGAGGCGCAAAAATTGCAAGAAGTACTCTTGAAAAAATCGAGAGGGGGGGGGACGGATTGAACCCAGTAGACATTAGGGTTAAAACCATCAAATGTTTGTCATAAAATTTGTATGAGATCTATATTCCACGTTTCTTGATTGTCCAGGCCGAACCGATGAAAGTAGGGACGAGTGGATGGAAGTCATTGAATTATTACCTAGAGGAACTAGCTCAGTGCGCTTTCAAGTAATCCTTAACGGGGTTTCGTACTCATCAGACTTTGCTATTGATGACGTCAAAGTGACTCTTGTGGAGTCGAATGGTGGAGGACACGAAGGTAAGAAAGACACACAAATAAAGCCTTTGACATAAAGGTAAGAAAGACACACAAATAAAACCTTTGACATAAAGAGCTCCATCTGAAGTTATCAAAATTGTATTACAAATCTTGAAAGACGGTGTTTTCTAACTTGGCATCTTGAACACAATTAACTTGGCCTAATGCAAAATGGATTGTCTCTTTTAGACTGTGTATGGTCTACATGGACACGCTGGACATATGGGTCATGCAGCACAACATGTGCAAATGCCATTGGAGTAAAGGTTGGAGTGAGAAAGATAAATCGATGTAAATATGGCAAAGCCATGGAAACAAAAACTGTTCCATGCAGAGGTTCAACACTTTTACCAGCCTGCACCTAGATACATACTACTAACAAACAGTTTTAAGTTCTAAATCGGAAAGACCTATTAAAAGACAGTGTATTGAGGACATCTATTTTGCCCCTTAAGTATAGATCATAAGCCGTGAGCAATTTATTTGCAAGGGAGGATCAATAACGGATCAAAAACACTTGGCAATTTTTGTAAGGGTCAAATGCTAAAATGTCATTGCATGATAGAGAAGTTGTGATTACCTGATACCATCTCCTTTGATTTTACAAATGTAGCCAACACATGAGAGTAAATGCTTTAGCTTTGACATTTTTTATCCCGGCGCAAAAATACTGATGTAACGCTTGGATAAACACACTTTCCAAATCATTTTATCCTAGCGTGATTGGGATAAAGTGTTTTGGAAAGTGCGTTTATCCCGCAACCACTGCTCCACTGGGATAAAGTGATTTTAGAAATGGAAAAATTTGCTCTTTATCCCGCCTCTTTATTTGACAAGTGCTGGGATTTGGATAAACAATTAGTTCCTTATTGAAATTCATATCGATTTACACATGACTTAGACAGGTGTGTAGATACGCTATACTGTATAAGTGGTATTTAATCCGAGTGTTTAATTTTCCGAATGGTCACATTTCATCATTTTCCTAATTTTAGTTTTCCTAATGACAAGAAACCTCCCACTGGATAACATTATAAAGACAGTATTTCCGACATTTAATTTTCCGAACCTGGCAAAAATTATGAAATAGGCAAATTAAATGATTAGGCAAAATTACCACTTATACAGTAACTAATGTGCAGAACTCCCTCTCGCTTGAACATTAGAATAAAAACATTATTCTATAATTCCACAAATGTAAAGATATAATTATCAGAAGTCATATTTATTTATGATTGTGTTCGATACAAAACAAATGCAACGAGCATTACGTTTTTGCAAGTATAACTAAAAAAATACAAACATACTCACCTGCGATTTACAAAAAGTGTACCAACCTGGATTTCCACAAACGAAACTTGTCTAACTAAGAAATAACCGTATATTAAAAGTGTAATAAATCTATTGTTAGGTAGGTCGAGTATGCAACTCAATGTTGCTGTTTTTCTAAATAAAATGTTATAGCATCTAGAAATATTTATCATGTTATAGATACATCTTTTCCATAAGTGTCAATGAGAACATTTTAAAATGCACTTTCCTCTGAACTATTTATTCTGTATTTGATTACCAATTTTTTTTCTTTTCAACCAACTTGCTCAGAACAAAATCTGTTCATATGTCATCTACGCAATTGTGTATATAATGGCTTGTTTGTAGATCCGTGTGATCGTTTAAATGTGTCATAACATAACATGATTATTTAATACATTTGCAGTTTATGTGCTAATAAAACTCAATGCAAAGTCATCGCAATTGCTTTAGTTACATAGAACGGAATAACAGAAAAATAGAAATATCATAAATTATATTCCTTTCATTCTTGATAAAGGGTTTTGTACTATTTTGGTGAAAATGTTTATCATTTAATTATTTATGTCAAAAGAGGTTTAGCTAACAATAACATACGTATTATTTTGTTTAACCCTTTCGCAACGATAGGCTCCATATGAAGCCCTATTATGTAATACCTTTCAGGATGATAGGCTCCTTTTGGCACCACTATTTTTTATTTACATACGTCAATGGAATGACAATATCTCCAGTTCTATTTAGTATTTTTACACCAAATTTTGACAAGTTGTTGACATGTGATAATGCTTATAAAAATTTTATTTTAGTGATAGTAGGTCCCGGGGTATACGTCATTTTCAGTTTTTACTTAGAAACTGCTCTTACTTATCCGTCAACATTTTTATGTTCACGTCGGGAAAGGAAAATTAAATCTGCTTTGTAAATGAAGATTCATATTTGAGGCTATAGAAAAACGATGATAGGCATTTATTGGTGTAACATAGCCTATGATGAGCATTTATTGGTGTAACGTAGCCTATGATGGGCATTTATTGGTTCAACATAGCATAATGTCATTAAAGATGGTTAATTACACGAAACAACAATTGATTTTATATTTATAATTTATTGTGAGAAGAAATGTGCTGACAATGCAATTGATCGATTTTTTGTAATTGGGTAACTTGACTTGACCATGCAATTTCGACCTGTCTCATTCCTAATGGACAGTCAAGTGTTTTGGGCTACCCAAGTATTCTTTCTCTTGTTGACGGTTTCTGACTTGATCAAAATTAGAAACACTTGATACGTTGGTTTCCAATGTGTCCTCACATTCCAATGTAGCAAAAACAATTATGTATATCGTATGTGACTCCCTCTTGCAAAAAACTTCCATTTATTATTACAGGGCACCAGCAGAATTCTGTGAATTCTGTGAACAACGTGCCACATTTTCAAGGTATTTCTCATTTCTCAATTTTATTGATTATTATGCTATAATATCAGCTGTACCGAAGGAGTGGAAACGCTTATTGAAGCGAGACTTAACTTCTGTCTATGAACCGAGCCTACAGACGGATCTTGTGCATTTAACACTTGACGGAAAACCAGTGTCATTGAATAGTTTAACAGTAAAGTCAACTCAAAAAAATAATAAATAGAAACAAATATTTGGAACCACTGTATAAAGATGAGCATGATCGTGAGTTAAAACGAACAGACTACTTTAAAATGGCTTATAGCTGCACGAAACAAAATAAAATTCGACAACTCCAATTTAAGATTCTTCATGGTATTTGTACCACAAATGCTTACTTAACGCATATAAAAATTAAACAGGATGCTAAATGTAGTAACTGTCCACTAAGAGACACTTTAAAGCACAAGTTATGGGAATGTAGGCGGGTTCAGATAAAGAGAATTTAGAGAAATTATTTAATGTAAATCTTGATTTTAATGCCCATGATATGGTGTTCGGAAGATCTGTAAATAATGTAAACATTTTGATAAATAGGCCATCACTAGCAATCAAATATTATACATATGCAAAAAATTTAATGAGGTAAATCCAAACTTGGACGTGATTCAATTTGAAAATAATATGGTTTTATATATACCAGAGCTTTTGGGTACGACTGCTGCAAATGTCTGAATGAATGGAGATGGTGTGAAAGTGGTTTAATATTTCATCTTTGCCTTGTTAAATGTGTTATTTCATGTTTGATTCAATAAAAAAAGAAGATATTTCTCATGGGAGTTCACTGTAAATTTTGAATTTTTAAATTAAACGAAACGATAAAAAGCTGTAAATTAATGGTCTGATCTTGAAAATAACACAGAGAAGAACTGAAAATTACAATAAAAAGTTACTTGAGGATCTCTGTATTATATGGTACCGTAATGAAATAGTTTATAGATTTAATTTAAGTTTAATTTTAGTTCTCTTGTTTCATGTCTCATTATTGGAACATTATTGTATTAGTACAATAAAAACGTCATTTCTAAGGGCGATATAGTGAAATATTGGACCAAGGGCCGAAGGCCCAAGGTCCAATATTTCACTATATCGCTCGCAGAAATGACGTTATTAGTATTATTACCACCGTTAACGACCAGGACTGAAACAGCAAGAAAATCTTACGCATTGAACGATATCTAATTTCCCGGGGGAAATTGCCGGTCCAGAATATATTCTAGACCGGTCCATATGGACCACCACTATGACGTCACACATTTCTCAGGTCGATATTGTACAAATAGTGACTGCCATTGAGGGAAATAGTGCAAAATATTTTCCTCAAGGGAATATCCTGTCCACTGACATGTTCCCGAGGCTGCAGGCCGAGGGAACAAGTCAGTGGACAGGATATTCCCGAGAGGAAATTTTTTACACTATTTCCCGAAAATGTGGCAGTCACTATTTGTTTTATTATATACCTGATAAGTACTCTGTAAACAAAAACAAAATGAGAAGTCTTTTCATTTCAATATCAAATGTTCACAGGTTCTTATTGGTATTTAAAGGCATTTTACCTTTCAACTCCTATAATCTCAGATTTGGGGGAAGATAAAATGTACTATTGACTGGTCACATGACCTAACTGGTGATTAGTACAATTCATCTTCCCTGAAAGCAGGGATTTAGGCATTTCCAGGGAATTAGTTTATCTATTTCATGTCATGTGACCATGAATAAGCCAATGAGCATCTAGAATACATTTGAGGTATATAATAAAGTAAAATAAACGCCTTCTAAACTAGCACTAAAACCCCTAGAACTGGCCCGGCAAGGTGGTAATAATTTGGGTTAATTTATAACTCCTTTATGGTTATCACCCTATGCAAAGAGATCACACCATTTCGAATGGTAGTGGTAAAGATGAGTCAAGACGACTAAAGTTGGCTTTTCATGAACCAGCTTAGCAGTCATAAACTAGAGCATAGGTGAGTGTCACTCATTTTTTCTTCACTAATCACATGTAGCCATTTCTCGTCATCGAAATTCTGATCACGGGTAAACATGCATCTGGCATTTGACATGTATATGATTAAAGACCGCGTTTTTCACATGAATGAAGAATTCAAACATGACCGTGCTCTATTCGAATTTCTCAACCAATCAGAATGCAGCATAGCCAATATAGAACGTTCTCTAATTCTCCATAGATGCACGACCATGCTCTATTCAATCTGCAATTTGCATTGTTTTGAGTGACGTCACATCTCAGCTGCACATCTGGGGCTCTGTCCGGGGATAGCTGTTCTTTTTTACTCCCTCCGTAACTACTGTAACTATGGCTGACTTCAAGTTTGCAGTCGGTGAGTAAAACGGGGAGTAAAATAGAACAGCCCAAACAAATTCTAAAATTTTTCCGGCCGACTTCAGAATCTTGACAGAATGCGTATTCTTCCTTCATGCCCATTCCACAGACACGGCTTTTACTAATTTTTATGTTTGAATCGGAATATATATGATAGGCCATTCAATATGGTGAAATTCAGCACTCGTTGGACAGAATGTTAGTACAAATGCACTCACCTTCGGTTCGTGCTTTGTACAACATTCTGTCCAACTCGTGCTGAATTTCACCATATTGAATGGCCTATCATTATGTATTCCTTAAATAAAACATGTCCATGGACATCCATGCGTTGTCGATCAGGAATTATCGAAATTTTGACAATATCAGATCATAATTTATTGTGGTGAATTAAAATTGCACTGTATATTTTAACGACTGTTTTATCATTATTTGCGTTCGATCGTATTAAAAACACATGGCATGCCTAATGTAATATCTTCAACTTCTAAAACAGCATAGAATCTGATATAATCACCACCGTGTGCTCCAGAAATACGACTTGAAAAATTGTGGTACTATTCTTTTTTGGTTTTTAGTCGTCGTGGCGTTCATTGAAATTGATGCAATCTCTACGTATAGGGTGTAATAATACAGTAACCATTAAGAGTCTTAGGCCTACTCACAATACGGAAATCATGCGGAAGTTAAATGTAGCGGTTGCATCGATAATGCTTGTATTATCGGTGTATTGTTTCATCATTAATTCCAAAGGCTATCAGCATATAAGAGAGACAAATATCAGGTTTAAGTTCTCCAAACAAAAGGATAAGTTTAGCCATATTGTGAACGAAGATGGGGAACAAATGATAACGCCCTTAAATGAGTTAGCCATGCCGTTACTAACATCGGGCGATGCACGGAAAAGTCGCAAGAAGTCACTGTTATTCAGTCATTTCCCAAAAGCAGGTGGGTCGGAAATAAGGCATATATTAACAACAGTAGTTGGAGAGAGTATAAATGTCGACCAAAACAGGGGAATGTACAAAAATAACAGTACAATTCTTGAGGATAACTACTTTCTTCAAACAGAATTTGTATCACTGGAGCCATATCAAAAATCAAATTTTTTCGTCATTGCGCATGTACGTTCACCGTGTAATTATCTACTGTCATTATGGGCATTTGGCTCGGACGGAAAAGGCGCGCTTTGCCATTCGACAAAGGATGAAAGTGTGTATGGGAATACGCCTCCGTATAATAACAAAGATGACCTACAGAGATTCACTATGTGGCTTCAAGACAATAAAAAGATATATACAAATAGACTTGTTCACAAGTATTTCAACAATAACATATGGAAAACAGACCCAACTTTGGGCAATGCGGACTGTTGGATTCACACCGAAATGTTAATTTACGACTTGGTGAATTGCTTGAAACGATATGAAGAACAAGGGGGAAAAGTAAAATGGGAGAAATTTCATAAGATAAAGGTGAATGAGAATCCAAGCACACATTCCAATTGTGAGGATTATTTCGGCGATGGCAGAAAAGCATTGGTGATGAATTCCAATAAAGATATGGCAAAATTATTTGGATACGAGACCTGTTGCACGGAAAACAATAAAACGTTACCAGAAGAATTTAAAAAGTTCTGGATCAATTAAGCTACATTCGATAGCCTATCATGTTATGAAAGAAAGGCTTCGAACGTTTTCATATATGGGACAATTTACGACAATTGATATTTTAGAATTCTGTTGTTGTACTAGAGACTGCGACATATGTTGATTTCATTTACATGCAATGTGTTATTTTTTGTTGACAAGACTTTAAGCAATCATTGCCACAGGGTACCTATTTGGAATATTGCTTATCTTTTTAAAAAATATCACTTTAATGATGGAGTTTTAGACAGTTAAGGAATATTTTATATATATGTGCTACCAACTGTTGGAAGATGGATGTTTGATATGCCTCAGTCGCATAATAGAGTATGACTATATGTATACGATTTGTTAAATATTTGTATCCTCCAACACATCGGCCATATTAATATACACTATTGATGCATTATTTTGGTGAAAGCTATGCCACAAGGTACATTTTGATAATATATCTTCGATTGCAGAGAACGGAGATACTAGTATATGATTGAGTGTAGGTATTTCTGTCGTGAATTCAAGTTGTCTAGACTCAACTTTACCCCACACCCCTTTAAGCATTTGTCATCACATTATTGTGTATTTCGTATACTTGATGAACAATTAATCGAATACATTAAAATTCACTGCAGTGATGTTCAAGACGAAATTTATAAAAACGTAAAATGCAATGAGCATTCTACACTGTACGAAATGTGTTTCGATATTAGTTGATGCTCGGGTGAGTACAATGATTTAGTAGGATTTTTGAACACGTGAGAATGCATTTAAACGTCTTGAGAGATTTGAACTCTATTTTTGATAACATACAGGGTGGGCCAAAAAAAAACAATACCCAACTTCAAATCAGGATAAAAATAGTTACATTCAATATGGTACATTGACTTACATACCATTTTAAAGGTTATACAATTTCAAACAATTTGGTATATAACACTATGTCATGAAAGCAATAGTAAAGTTTTATTATACTTATTTGGGAGGCCGGGTCACTATTTAAGGTCTCCAGATTTAAGGGAGAAAATAGTAAATCTGCGGAATTATGTTAATTTTTTATTTATAGAATATCATTCTTTTGTTAGGTGAATACATGCTTGGATACTGATATTTTCATCATTGTTTGACTAAATTTATTGTTTATGAATTTCAGTGTTGTTTAATAACATTTTACACTTTATTTATTTAAACAATTTTCACAATTGCTCGATATACCCCCACCCCCTCCCCTGTGCATCAACAATAAGCTCCAAGTGGTAGCGTAATCTATCAATAACATTATTGAGAGATTTCTGTTGCAATTCATTTCAGCACTTTAGGATTCCGTTTTAGCACATCAAAGCTGTTTATTGGATGCTTTTGATTGTACCATTTCCTCGAGATGGCTCCATGTATCGTAATCAAACAAATTACACGTAGCATCGGGGCTGTTGAGTGTCCAAGCATCGAGATCAATCAAATTGACACCTTGTTTGCAAAGGAATGCCAATGTCTCTTGAGATCTATGGTACGGGGCAATGTCTTGTTGGAAAATAAAATCCTCGTCACATATACGTTTATTGTCTTTTAACAGACCCCCGTTGAGTACTTATTGATAATAAACAACACTAAAATTCATAAACAATAAGTTTAGTCACACAATATGCAAATATACAAGCATTTATTCACCTAACAAAATGATATTCTATAAATAAAAAATTAACATTATTCCGCAGATTTACTATTTTCTCCCTAAAATCTGGATACCTTAAATACTGACCCGACCTCCCAAATAAGCATAATTAAACTTTAATATTGATTTCATGACATAGTGTTATATACCAAATTGTTCGAAATTGGATAACCTTTAAAATGATATATAAATCAGTGTATCATATTGAACATAGCTATTTTCAGTCTGATTTAAAGTTGGGTATTGGTTTTTTTGGCCCACCCTGTAGATATAGCAAACAATTGGAATTTTACTTGTGTCACTTTAGTGGAACTTAATTAACAGGTACGTGAAAACAACCTTAGCTTTGTTGAATAAAACTTTGAATTTTACACGCAAAGCCTGCGCTAATTGAAATGCAAAAACTGCATGTGTCGCCACTTTTGAAGAGACGAACAACATTTAAAGACAAATTTGAGGGGGATGAATATGTTTGCTATACAAGCATTATGGAAACACTATCACGTAAGTTAGTGTTGTGCTATAAGTCTACATAGTATAGTATTGTCTGTATTATGTTAAGTACATTATCTTTAAAGATAAATCACGATGAAAGGTCAGTAAACCGGACTAGAGAACGAGCTATGATCGTAAACATGTACTATAGTCTCTGAGTGCCCAAAATAACAACCTAAGACAAAGCAGATATTAACGTGACGCGAGATGAGAGATGCCATCATTGTAGCATTGATCGGATCAATCTTACTTCTACAACTAACTGCGCAGGCGCAAGACGTGACTTCCGATGACGTCATCGACTCTAGAGACATAATGTCAATGAGTTTTCTCGTCTCTGTCAATAACACTTGGGATCCAGACGGGTAACTATGGCACGATTTCATATTTTACACATGGGATCAGGAATGAATATGTAGTTTTAGCAAGGAACAAAATGTCATATTCATCTGGAATTTCGTACCCGTATGCTCAGGAGGAGTGAGTAGCTCCCATTCTTTCATATTCTATCGTATTCAGGGATTCCCCATTACATAATCTCTTGCATCATCTTCAATCAAATTGTTCGATTCGATCACGTGAACAATCATGAGCACGTGCTCTCTCAGTGCTGCGCATGTGCAGAGTTAAATTTGAAATCGAGGGAATGGCGTTTACATCAGTTCAACATCATCATTTTAAACCTACGGTAATACTATTATAGTTACTCGATCCATACTTGTAGAGAATACTCATAAAACTACAGTGAACATTTGGAGATGCATTTCAATGGCAAATTGAGGCCTGTTTATAAAATTTGTTTTCAATCGTGCTAATATGATAGGGCATCTTTGGGAAATCTCTCCCCCCCCCTGCCGTATGCTTGCTCGTATGCAAACTTTTTCAAAAATCATTGTTAGAAAATAATATGAACATATATACAAAGCATTTAAGCATATACGTCCTCCATGTGCCTCTTTGATGTTTTACACAGTGCATCTGTCAAAAATACTTAATCAAGATTTAAAAGAAGAATTCTTAATGGTACCAAATGACTATAATTCATATTCTAGATGTATTGGTACAGCGAAGACTCCACCATTAAAGCCTGGGGTGATGTACAATGATTCCGATGCAATTGGTATAGGTGCATGTGATAGAGGACCAGTCAGATTTACCATCAAAAAGAGTGCGACGGGTCTCAATAAAGTCGTGAGTACAATGTCAGGCCCGTAGCCAGGATTTTCCAAAGGGGGGTTCACTTTTGACAATTTTGGTCCAAAAATGGCCAAAATCACTAAAAAAGTGCTCAGAATGGTGACAAACTGCCTGATTTTGAAAGAATTTTTGGCCAGGGGGGGGGGGGGGGCTCAAACCCATCGAACCCCCCTACCCTCTGGCTACGGGGATGAATGTACAGTATATGTATCCTCATGTGATAGTGTTATTGTATATAATTTGTATATATTGAAGTATGAATATAGGTACTGTAAGATAATTTTAATACTATGAATAATATTTCTGATCGATCTAAGCTTGCAGCTTCATTGTTGATGTGAAGCAGGTGTAGCGTCAGAACTCTAAATTTTATAAGGGAAATATCTCAGTCTTATTTTCATTGAAAATACTAAAATATGATGACAGGTAGTTTTAGAAAATGTGGGTTTCTTGTATCATCTGTTTCAGGTTGAAGTGTCTTTTTATTCAAGTAACACTGAGAGTCCTGGTATGCCAGCAACATGTACAATAAATTGGAACGGAACGTATAAAAATCCTGACCATTACGGAAATGCAGTTGACCAATCGCCTCTATCGAGCTGCTTCACTCTTCTGAATTACAAGGTCAACACACATGCGCAAAAGAGAAAATCTCCTATCGTCTTGTTGAAATACTTTTGGTTCTTCATACTTGACTGGGAATACAGAAAGTGAGCTAACATTTTATTTGAACAAATGCTTACGTACCATTTATACAGTTTATAAAATGATGTTAAAAATAATTACCGATTTATGCTATTGTAATAAAGAAATTCCAAGGTCACACATTTCAAATTGGAAAGGTTCTATATGGAGATACATATTGCAGCATTTCTCCAATGAAAACATAAACAAGCCGAAGTGTCGGCTGAAAATTCGACCTGTAATAGGATCGATTCAAACCTCTCTTCTGCAGGCCTAGATAATGGAAATAATATAAATCTAAATTCAATGTGTCGATCCTATCGTTTAAACACCAATTAGAACAAAAACGTTAGTATATATTTATAGTAGTATATATTAATAATGATATGCTTATATTTGTGAGATTGTACAACAGAAATGGATTACTACATTTTTCATGTCACATACAGTTCAGTTTGTCGACATTCTGTTGCAGCAAATAGCATCACATATAGTAAAATGAGATTCTTTGAGTCCATTGAGGAAATTGCAAGTTTGAGTTAACATAAGGGAGGTAAAAATTTGCATAAGATATATGGTCAGGTATAGAGCTACGATAACACAATGCCAAAATGAGCGCATATGGGAAATAAGCAAAGCCACCCCCTTCCTCAGGACAGAATGTAAGAAAGTGAGACTTTAATTTCAATATGAATGAGAGATCAGTTAATATTAAGTCATTTTACAATTTTCAATTTTACAATTTTCTGTTTTACAATTGTACAAGATTGTTCGAACTCGTCTCATCAGTAACTCCCATATTAGTGTATCCAATATTACAGTTGCGATTATGCTCCTTATTTACATTTTTACTTTGTTCTTTGCATGTACCATTGTAAATTACATCGCTTGAATGTGCATTATCTTGTGAATTTACTTTATCATTTAGGTTAATGTCGCTCATCTTTCGGACTTCAAATAAATCATCTGGAAATGGTAATTCAAATGTCGCTTTTGAGTCTTCTTGTGAGTGTTTTTCAAAACTGCTCATCTTGCGCATGCGCAGCATTTCATCAGGGAGTGGTTTTTCAAATCCTTCACGACCAACTAGCCAGTAAGTTGTCATGCTACCTTTACCCTTTATGTTAATTTCCCCTCTGCAACAGCATTCATATTGTTCGCTGTCTTTCAATGCGTTATATGTATATGGACTGATATGGATTCGCAGTGCTGAAAAATAAGAATAAATACATTATTAATTTTAGATTCTTGATTAAGACATGCTAATTTTGACTCCTCTAAATGTTTCTTCTTTGACAACATGATACAAACCTCTTCTGACATGAAGCAATTGTAATTGAAGAAGAGGGCTTTATTTACGTTCACTTGGTTACCAACTGAGACAGAGTACCCTACCTAAGTTCACACGGTAACAACCAACTTACGTTCACCGTGCGATTCCATCCTAGAAGCTGTATTGACAGCATCCCCGAAGAGGCAGTATCTTGGCATAGTCAGACCCACAACTCCGGCTACACAAGCACCTGCTCAAATAAAGTGTGATATGTATATTGTATGCAAATAATAGTCAGATAGTGGTCCAAAGTCAAAACTGAGTAATGGTGGTAAACGCATAGATTACTTGTTGTAAAACTATTTCCAGTCGGTATAATTTGCCCAAAACGAAGATATTTATTCTGGGTCAAAGCTAAATTTTAGATAGGTAGAGTATACACCAACATTCAAGTCCTTGAGTGAAAGGATTATTTAATTGCATATTCCAAGATTTGACAGTAGGGATGTCTATCATAATGTAAAACTGAAAGGAAAATGGTACCTGTATGCACACCAATCCTGACCCTCAACTTCTGTTGAGGTAAATGAGGAATTGTAAAACCCATGACTGCACTCAGAATATCCAGTGAACAATTGGCAATCTCGTATACGTTCTGTCTTCCATTCCTCACAGGCAGACCACTTACCAACATGTAAGCGTCACCTATTGTCTCAACTTTATATACGTCATGCTGAGTGATGACGTCATCAAAAACTGTGTACAAGCTGTTGAGTAAATCTACTACCTGAAATTGATAGGGAGACATAATGGTGCGCAAATCAGGAAGGGTCCTCTTAAAACCGAAGATCTTAAATCTGCTTTAAAGTTTAAAATTGTCCAGTGTCAATACTGATGTTTTATGTTTGAAAATATAAGACTACATATGTCGAGTTAATATGTACAACCAACCTGCATAGGAGTTGAGTTAGAAGCTAATGTTGTGAATCCAACGATATCTGAGAAATAAATTGTGACTTCTTCAAAAGTTTCAGCTGCTACTGTTTTGCCCTGTTTTAGTTGTTCTGCTACGGATCTGCAGTGAATATTATTTTCATAAACATGATGCAACAATAAGAAAAATACAATCACGGTATCGTCAAAGTCCGAGCCCTTTAACCTTAACGAACTCAAATGTATATCATGTATTATATATAACCGTCTGAAATACATGTATATACAAGGAGGGCCATAGAAAGTCTCAATTTGCATCATTCTTAAAAAATAAGATCACTTTTGACAAAAAAACTCATGGGTCTCATCGTTCAATACAACCTTTAACAATGATTTTTAGTTTAAAGTTTTCAGAATTTCATATTATTTTCCCACATTTTGGCCCACCCTGTAGATGCGTGTTAAATCATACTGTGGTAGCATCCTGTATAAAAGAGAATCTGTTTTCTTCTTTTCATCTTCTAATTGTTGCGTCCTTTCAGCTACTACATCTTCTAGGTTGTTGGCATACTTTTCCATGATCTTCATCATGTTGTCCATAATATTTGTTGACCTGAAATCAAACACAAAAGGATGGGTATCGATATGGCGACGTTTCACATGTTTCTCTTAAACCAGTCAGTGTTTTTACAGAATGTTTTCAATGATTGGTTTATATAAGAGAAAAACATTGTTGTATTCAGTTCACCATATCGATACCAACCCTTTACCCCGATTATTTTTGTAAAACCTCGGGGAAATTAATGCAAGAAAATATTCTCGTAGAAAAATGTAAACAGAACGAATATTATAATTAGTTTAATAAAAACAAAAAATAGCACTAACGTTCCTTTCCTATATTTATGCACAATTTTGAGTATTTGATTGAAAGATGGCCTTGCAGCGGGGTCTTCCTTCCAACAAGATGAGGTGATTTCTGTCACTAGATCAGGAGCTGCTATCGGAATGTGTTTGGCTATTGGTCGGAAAAACTTATCACCGGTAGGATGTTTCACCCTGTCAATAATTTCTGAAATGTTGGCATTTAGAAAGAGGGGGAAACTCCAAGAATTCATTGATGAACATATCCCTATGTAATGAAGAACACCTAGATGTTCCACCTTATATGGAGGTTCATTTATGAATCATGGGGTACTCCCCCTCTTGCTTTACAATTTACAGACACACCTGCAGGTAGATGTTTTAAGCAGTGTTTTAAACTATGTAAATTAGAAATTAGTTTTTACAGAAGGTTCGGTTGTTTGGGCAGTTTGGCATTTTATAATATTTTAAGAGGTTGCTTAACTAATAACAATGAAAGAAGGAGAAATCAATGATGGACATATAACATAACCACTATTGAACGAGAAATACAAGAACAATTAATTGGTATGAGAGATATGCATGCCTTCTTGTAACAGTTTTAGTAAAGTATGTGGTACCTTTTGGCGTAAGGATATCAACCTCAGTGTATGGACCATTGCGCCATATGATCTCTTTAAATACTATTCCAAAACTATAGATGTCACCCTTTTTGCTTCCACAAGATGGCGGCCCCCTCATTCTCAACAGTTCGGGCGCCATCCAAAATAAACCTTTATGAAAAATAACTTGTGTATGAATGAAATTATACGGAAAATAACGTTATACTCGAATACACAGTATTAAATAATGTTAGTTATCGATGGGTTATTCAATAAAATTAAGAATTCCAAAATTATTTTTTGTAACTAGGATAAAATGATGCCATAGTAAAATAACAATGAACTTTGGGATTTCCTTTCTTGATGAAGTTTCTGTTGATGACCCCAGACTCATTAACCGTTTTTATTATGCACCTCATTAAAATACTCAAATCTGATTGGTTAAGAGCTGAAGGGTCTATTGCCATACGTGGCAGCAAGATCTCGTTCTACCCAGTATTGCAGCAACGAGATCTCCAACCATCCCGTATTTTTAATACCCTACCCCCAAGAGTGTGTGCGCATTTTGAAATTAATACTAATATGCATTTTGACAATTTAACACCATCTTTTATTTCTCTACAGTAAATTAATGGTAGAAATATGATATTAACCAAGGGAGGTGCATAATAAAATAAATACTGGATGACCATGGTATGGATATGCCAGATTACCTGTCCTCGAAAAAAATACTAAGCTCGACTTCGCCTCGCCTAGTATTTTTTTCCTCGGATAGGTATTCTGGCATATCCACCTCATGGTCATCCAGTATTTGTTTAATATGGGGTCTGTATTGTTTTGTTGTTTTTAACATAGAAATATATCAATAATCGAGGTTTTAACTTCAGGAAGAGTGCGTTAGTTGACCTTACGTTCATATTGGTTATGTTCCGTCATATCAGGGTCAGGACGCTCCCCCATGAAAGTTTTATGAAGACCAAAGTCGGTAATTTTGCACACCCAGCGACTATCAATGACACAATTTGTTGACTTCAGACCTCCGTGGGAACCGATACTACTAGTGTGCAAGTAGTCCATGCCCTGAAATGATCAGAAAATATGGACGGGAATGGGTATGCAATTTACTCGGAAATGGGCAATCCCAATGTTATATTTTATTATAATCTCCGAGTATAATGATTCATGTTCGGTTCAAAGGCATTACAATCATCATGTATCAATTGAAGATTGGAATTAATCCCCGGGAATTAATCCCAATTGAGCGTTAATATTACTGTATTATTATGTGAATTGTATTTTTCAATAATTATCGTGCTGATAATGTTACAAAGTCAAACTACCAAGAACTGTGAGAATTTTCTTTATAAGTTATCATTCGGGAAACTATTTCTAAGAATAACCTAAGAATCGTTGACAAGTCACCCAAAATATGTACAAGAATTAGTTCCGAACTGAAACCCCAATTTCATTTTATTTCATCAATCTCCAAAGCACTTATAAGGTAAACAGATATTTGTATATTCCATTAAAAGGTTGACATATGTATCTATATTATTAAGTGACATTTAATTTCATCAGCACTTTCTCAATTTTAAGCGTTACCTAAATGAGCTCCATTAAATTGATACAATAAAGGATCGTAATTACCTTTATAATATCAACCACTAGAGAAAGCTTAAAATACTCGTCAAGTTTAATTGTTTCATTCCAAATGACGTCCTGGAAAATAAAACAATTCAACGTCACCAAAACAACAAGTTAATTCTACATGAATTCACTAATCCTCTTGAATACTTGAACGACGAATATATCAGCTACAGTTACCTAAAATTAACATCAAATACAGATAGCAATACGGCAGAAATGAAAACATTGTTATTCTGGATATCAAATGGGATTGTTTAGAAATGTTCAATCGTTCTCTTTTCAAATAAAACAACTTCAGCTTCATTAATTTCTAATTTGTCTGAACAATCTCAAATATCTGGTTGTAAGTACTCAAATGAAGCGATAGAATATCTGCGTATCTGCTTGCAATTAACTTTATTTCTGTTTAAAACAGATGTGGTACTGATAAAAAAGCATCAAATATATTTCATAGTTGAATCCTGGAATCAGAATACTTTAGTATATCCATCCGAAGTTACAACATAGTGTAAGCAATGATGTTTGGGTAACTCCAATAATAATTAAATGTTGAATATGAAATTCAGCAAACAAAGCAAGGGGAATCGTAAAAATTTAAGAATATGGGTCACCTGTAAACTGCCCTTGGCACAGTACTGCCATAGAACGCATATGTTGGGGCTTGTAGTACACGCCCCTATGAAGGTATTGACGTTATTGTGGGTTACTTCCTTCATCTGAAACAGCGCATGAGATGATTTGAAAATTACGTCATAATATAGCTATGTCAGTTGTGTTTTTGTAAAGCGTAAGTCTTCTGGAATTTTCTTAAGATTGAATTAAACAATATTTTCAAAGATTGAAAGAAAATCATTTATTTATCTACTGTATAAGTGGTACTTTTGCCCAATCATTAAATTTGCCAATTGCCTTATTTTTGCCAGGTTCGAAAAATTAAATGTCGGAAATGTTATCGTCATAATGTTATCCAATGGAAAGTTTCTTGTCAATAGGAAAATTAAAATTAGGGAAATTATCAAATTCAACCACTCGGATTAAATACCATTTATACCGTATTTGTGATTCTATATGAGGTATAAATATCATACTTGGTTCATTTCAAGAAGAATATCCCTGGTGATCTTTATGCTGTCTTTTCTAACTGTACGAACAGCTACAGTTAAACCTTTGTACCTATAGATGTAAGAATTAAATTACAAAATATTTATGACAGGAAATGAGTAGGGCATATAAAAGCTATTGGTTGGTTCATTTTCTTGCTTTTAATCAGAATTTTTGTCTACAATATGTGCGAACAGCTGATTCATAGAATTTAAAGTTCATAGTTTACAACAATAGACTCTGCACCTGGCAATATGTGTAACCAGATTATTTACAGGATATTTACAGATTTTCAACATTTGCTTAATTTACTTGGACTTACAGAGTTAACTAAAATTATCTGTAACTGCATATTTATGCTAATCGAACGGCTGAAGGACTGGGGGATTTTCAACATTTTAATACTTTATATTCTGCGGAATAACAGAGTTTACTAAAATTGTCAACAATTTATAAGCACCTACATAATTTACTAAAATTGTATATACACTTATATGTGTAACTACCAATACTGATTTACAGGATTTACACTCTAGATTTGTAACATTTATGCAGAGTTACAGAATTTTACTACAATTTTTTGTACCTGCCAATGTGTAAATACAGTTTGGAACATAAATAAATGACAGATGGATTTGCCGATGGATGGATTTGCTCAGTGGATGGGATTATACAAAATGTAAACTATATAAATTTTAAGGGATAGACAATATCTAGACAATATTGGAAATTATGGGCTTTCAGACGACCATGGTTAGAATATGGTGATAGAAAATCCACATGTCATTTATTTTTGTTCCCAACTACTTAAGTATAGTTGATTTCTGGGTGTACAGATTTTCAACATTTACATAGTTACGCAAATGTGGAAAAGTATATTTGTCTATACAGTACCTTCCAATATGTGTGAAAAGCTGCTGCATTGATGAGATACTGCCACCAAATGTCTTTGCATTGGACAATGACATACTGTTCGAAAGTTTCCTTTGTGAACCACCTAAATTTGTTCCCTAAAGAAATAAACGTTACGCTGGGGTTGTTTACTTGCATTACCTAGTTTTTGAGGAGTGCAGATGGTTAAGTAAGACTCCCTGTTCATAGTATGATAATGTTACAACAACCACAACGATTCTCAGTTCAACACTCAACTCAAGCGTGTCAGTAGCGTTTCTTAAATAAATCTATAAAGTCTGTATGGTGGTACAAGTAACAATAGAACACATGAGAAATTGTGTACACCTGAGTGTAATAAGAGACTAAATTATTATTTAATATTCACACGAACCAAACTACTCCCGAATTTCAAGTGTCCCGGTCGTCTTCGAAGACTGAAGTCAATATCATCATAATTCACCTTCCATGACATACTGGCTAACCTCTGCTCAAACATTCTGCGCCTGCAAAAATTCAAATTATCATTAGCAGGTTGAACATCCCACAATGCATCTGTACAATTCGCAGGCGACAAATCTGTTGTAACATTCCAAGCAATCATTGACAGCTTCAATACCCCATATTGGAACTGCACATCAGCAGAAACTGGCAGAAACACGCAAAACCAACCATCACTAGCAGCTTGAATATCCCATAATGCAACTGTTTTTCTGGCAGACGACTTTTACCATCAGCTAATTACAATTAACATGATATAAATAATTGATTTGTTGTAAAGATTATACTTATATTAAATAAACTATCATAACATTTTACACAATATTCTAATTCAACAATTACATAATAACTCATAGGAAGTAAATACTATGAAGTGCAAATACCAATAATTTATACATTTCAAAAACTGGAACTTCAAATACTATGAAGTGCAAATACCAACAATTTATACATTTAAAATAATCATGATGTTGAATTAATAAATGCATTACCTTATGACTATGAGTGCCATGAAGATAATTGTAATTAAAAGAAGACCAGCGATAACAGGCGCAATGACAGACATTAGTAGGTCATCTGCAAATAGTCAAGAAAGGACAATAGATGGTCATCTGTGAATATATACAAAAACAGACAATACCAATTTATTTTCTATTTATTTACAATGGTGACATTGGATAGTAAGTTTGGTATAACAGCACATATTTTAACTACATTGCCCTAGTCAATACGGCCCCTGAGAGAATGTTTTTGGTTTGTTGAAGTTATTTCCAACATTATATGTTCATAGAATACTAACCTCGTCCAGGGCAGTGTTTACCATCAAAACCACACCGAGGTGTATCGGGAGGGGCTGAATTGTACCCTACCCGACCTCCTGCCCACCTAGGTTCATTCACGTGTATGTATTCCTACAAAACATTTGTTCATCACGTGAGGCATACTTTAATGACCTTGACCTATCGTCTGACATTTGAATTTTAATTACTGCTATTGGCGGATCGGGATGAAAATAAGTTCGATATTAAACATGCCTCGCTGTTCAATTATAGAAACATGAAAATACTCCAACAACTTGAACTCGCAATACTTTGTTCAGGTCTATGAATAATTTCAGCACTTCTTGCGAACTCTTGTCCCCTCTAGACTTCTTATAGTACAGGCTAGGGACATTCCAGTGAGGCCTCTTTCTATGACATACCCCCGCACCCGGTATAACAAGACGTATGTGGTACCATTTTGTTCGGTATGATGTGAAGTTTTCAGAAACCAATTTTGACATTTTCAAATATGGGTCAGATTCCAGATAATTAGCGTAATGTTACATAATTTATTGTTTTCTATGTTTTTATATTTTCAAGGTTTAAAACAGCTATGGTTAGGTTTTTATCAAAGTATAACAACAGATAATGGTGGTAATGCTTTCAGAAAAATTGATGACAAAATTTTAAGAAATTTAAAATCAATATTAATCATAATTATGTAATTATTATGTAATAATGTTAAAAAATTTGAAATTAGACGTTGCAAGACACGCTTTAATGCAATAAACTGGTTAAACTTCACCAAATACAAAAAATGAATAAAAGGATGTGATAGCACAATTTTATTTCCACAATTACATAATTAATATGAGGATATAATATTATGTAATATATACAGACTTATAGATTTTCAGTATCTGTTTGCCATACAGTAATCGTTTAATCAGAGTCACTATGCAGAACTTATGGCCATCCAGATAGGATGGTCTTGCTGAATGCATTCAACAAAAGGTTATGTGTAGCTAGTTTATTTAATACTTTGTTATCCCACCTAACGAAGGGAGGGATATAGAAAAGCCACCCGTCCATCCGTAAGTATGTTTGGGTGATTACTTAAATACCGATTGACATATTTGATTCAAATTTTATAGGCTTATGCCTTATGAATGTAAGACCTCTGCTGGAGAAGGAATTATCAATATGACTGCTCATATGGCCACCATTTGTGTAAAAGTACAAAAAATCTCAGTGGTATTGAGAAACCTGCCGATGATGGAAATATTGGTTTTATTAGTGGATGCTGCAATCCATAACTTTGATCAAATCGAAGACACTATTGATGGGAAGGGATCAACACATCCTATGGCCATGGTCTTGTATAAACGATCAGAAAATAATAATGATAACAAGGAGCAAAACAGAAAAACAAGACTTCTCTGGAAGACACAGATATATGTAACTATGAAAACCAAAGGTTGATGAGTTAAACCAAAAGTGACACCAACACCGAATCCCATTTCATCAAAAGAAAATATAGAAATGATGACAAAGTCCAGTTCATACCACAGTACAATCAAATCTGACCTGATGTGGAGACTTGTGAGGCATATGAGACAATCAGAAGGCCGAAAGAGGGCCATTTACAGGATGGTGAAAAAAACTTACACCATTTTTCTCATATCTTTGTCATTTTAAGAACTGATATTTTACACATTTGTACATAATTCAATTTCCTACCAGCCTACTATATTTCATGACCATCAGATTGATAGTCACAATGTTACAGCACTTTAAAGAACATGCCCCAGTGGCCACTATTGTGCTGTCAGCAAACCTGCACATGTAGTCCAAAATATCTCTACTTGTGGGGAAACGGCAACGATAAAGTGTATGAGAATGGCTTCAGGACAATAGCATACCTCAAAAGTAAGATCATTAGTGTCATTCAGGCCATATCTGCTGAAGAATGTATTTGGATCATTGACAACTGTGCAGGTTTGACAACAGCGTGATAATGCCCAAACCTGAAGCATGTTGTTTAAAGTGCTGTTGTATGATAGGGAATGATGTACAAATGTGTGAAAGGTGAGAGAGTAATATTTTAAAATGACAAAGATATAAGGAAAATGCAAGGTTTCCATTTTTTGACCACCCTGTACAACAAAGCACAAAAGAACCATCTTGTGTATAGAATATGACAATGAGTTGGAAATATGCACTTGACAGCAACCCTTGCATTATTTTTTGGTTTTTTATTAAGTTATTCATTTGTACAAAGAATACAATACAAAAATACAGTGTGAGTGGCTGTGCTTTTAGCATTATTAGCCACGTCCAGGATTGTTAAACTGTATAGTGAATCGAGATGGCAAGTGAAGCATGTTTCTGGCTGATGTTTAAGTCTGCAGAAGATTTTTGTTAAAATCTGTAAGAAAACCAGGTCTATCAGGGAGGTGGTAAAGTCACATTGTCACATCGCCAGCGACTATGCAGAATCTGTTAGAAATCTGTATATTCAACACAAAAACCTCATGAAGAATGCCACCCAAAGCGAGTCGAAAAGGATGAAGATGATGTGCGCAAGATATGTAGTCTTATAGGTCCAAATTATAGATGGTGTCTTAGGAATGGTAAAATAAGGCAAATCTTGCTAATTTGAAAAAAGTGATGAATCAATCATCTTAACTGGATGTTTTCAAAAAAGGGTGAAGGCTAATGACCATAACAACAACTGGCTCTTATAGTGCAGAGTAAGAGAGTATACATGGAAGCATGTCTTGATGAGGCAGATACTCTAATGATTTACCATGCAATACAAAGGTCAAAGACAGCTAAGTAAGAATAAGAGAAATAGTTCGATGCAGTGATGCTGATGCGTTGGTCATGTTTTTGTACTACTACCACACAGTTCTTTACATCGTCACATGAGATATTCATGCACGGTGGCCATGGGTCAAAGCAGCGCATCATCAATTCACAGAATATGAGAAAACTTGGTGAAAAGTTTTGCAAATCATTATCAGCAGCTCACACCCTTATAGGATGTGACACTACCTGTTCATTTGCTAAAATTGGGGATATATTACACAAAATTAATCAAGAACATTGATCACCTCAGCAATTTATGGATCAGATGAGCATCTACAATGTGAGAGCCATGTAATGTCACAAGAAGACGATGACATTGGATGACCTATGCTTTATTTTGGCATCCACAACTGACAAGCCTGCATCTGCAATGCTACTAACAAAAGATGCTTTAAACAACATCTTCTACCAGCACATCTCCAATGTCAAATCTGGACAAAGTGCTCACACAGCAAAGCCCAAACTTTGGAAACCAGAAGGCAACGAATGCTACTTTTGAGAGCATCCGCCCCCATTGAATTAAGGCATCTTACCCAAATCTATTGTAGAGATGGATTTCGCACTAATCAGACTTGTAGATGCCTACTTGCAGGATTGTTGCGCATGTCTATCTGTTCCCGTGAGGTGGGTATTTGCCAAAACACAATAATGGTTGAGGAAAAACCATATCCAGATGTTTAGAATAAAGATGTTTGAAATAATCATATCATCATATTATATAATGATTCTATTGAAAGATGTAAGCCCTTATATGTAAAAATTGATATTTATCATGTTTAAAATGATCATAACAGTTACCTGATTTTTATATGCATGAATATTTGGATAAGTATATCTGATTAAATATTTAATGATATTATCATTGTGTCTTAATACACCGTTCAAGTACTGTTATTTGCTGCTACATATGCATGGCATATATTGTTTACAATGAGATTAAGTCTTTTTTATAAAGGTTTGTACTCATAATAAGATATTATTGCTTGAATTGGTTTAGCACATGACGTTTATATCATTTAGAACAAAAATTCTGTTATCTTAAAAACGAAAACAATTCAAATTGTAATTTTACTCATAAAACAATGGAAATTATGTAATAATTACATAATTCTAAGTCCAAAGTATTTTTGATAATTATCAAAATTTATTTTAAAGTATATACACAATTAATATTTGTTTAGCTCATGATTTCTTTTCATTATTTTCTTTAAAAATGCTCTACAAAAAATGCTATGTCATAATAATAGATTACATAACATTATGTCATATTTATCGAATCTGACCCATATTTCAATCTGTCAAAATTGGTTTTCGCAATGTACTCAACAAGACGAACAATTTGATACCCATGACGACTTGTTATACTGGGTGCGGGGGTCAAGTTGATATTTGGCTCATAGGTAGCCTGCACTATTAACGAAAAGGTCTTATGAAGAGCGAACGTAATCCGGCGGAACATGGCATGTTGCAAAGCCACTGATAACACGTTCGTAGCCTATACTACTGAAGATGCCATTGTCTTAATGTGGAAAGAAGTAATAAGGGGTAATGAAGGGATGACAAATGATGAGTGTTTAGAACTTACCCACGAAATGGAGTTATTTCCTAAGATTGGCTTAATAACACCCGATATGTGGAAGAATCCAGCCTCGTTTTGATCCAAAATCCAATAACTTGGTTCCCTGTCGCCATAGTAATCTATCATAGCTGTGCCACTTTTTCCTAAAACAGAATGTTCCCAAAGTAATTTTCTAAAATGCAATTAATATATTGGAAATGAGGATGATATGTCGATGAAATGTTTATTAAGTGACAAAAGAAAAAAACAAAAAGATATCTCTGAGACCAAAAACTAATAACTTAAAGGAATCAAACCACAAAATCCCAAACTGTGATCAGACGCGAAAAGAAGAGAGATGCCTTGCAAATAAAGTGATTTCCATATTTTGCAAATATCTGTTAAAATCCACAATTTACGACCGTAGTTCTTGTGACTGGTAACGCTACCGCATGGTCGATAAATGCTCGATTCAAATTGACCTTCCGATTAAAATGGATTTATTCTCCACTCACCTTTGAATTCTCTGCCTGAAACGGTATCAAACACAAGGCGTCCGTTTCTGTGGTCATCCGAGTTGCTGATAAGTTCGTCAGCAACTGTTGCATAGATGTACAGGGCATCGTACAAAAATGGGGTATACACATCACCCTATTGAATAACGTCCATTATTAAGAATTTTCAGCGAATGAATCTGTTTACGTCTCGAACAAATGTTGCAATAAACCAAGGTTTTCCACTGTTATGTTATGATAAGTGTGCTCGTCGAGTCAATGTAAAAACATCAAAATTGTGTGAACTTAATATTTGAGGATATATATTGCATGAGGTAAAAAAAATTAAAATAGGTCAACACAAGTCTGAAGGAAAATGGCATGTCTTTTTTATCTATAAGATATACCTGAGTGGGAAAGCCCAAAATATAGGCAGGTCTCTAAAACCGTATGCAAATTGTCCAAAGTAAATGGATGCGTAAATTATCAAAGCTGTAATCACCTTTACTATTTCTACAGATTCCTTCCATTTAGATCTCTGACCAGCGACATAAGATTCATTAAGAAATCGTTTATACTGTCTATCGTTATAATCTTCCAAAACACCATCTGCAATTGACAACTGAAATAAAAGAACAAACTATAGTCAATGCTTGCAGTTTTTTAGTCATTGGCAATTTTTGAATCAGTTATGTTTGCCCTTAATTATCCCATATAATTCTGAAATCGTAACTCCATTTTTGAAAAGTATTTTAATGGTATGTTTGTGCAACTGAATCTTGCCAATTGCACCTCCAGTCGAGGTCAGTCAGATATGACCATTAGAATGATTATAACTATTGTGTATATTCACCCTATAACGAAAACAATGCTCATAATGTTTATAATCATGAAACAGGATCTTAAGAGGTTCTGGACAAATCATTTGATTCTGGACTTGTCATATTTTTTTTTCAACGAAATCACATCCAAGGGTTGAATTTTTATTAGCTATTTAGAGAGTGAGTCCTGCCTAGTATTAATTTCAATAAAAAAAGTTAAAATAGAACCCTATTTGAGAGTCAATCTAATACTTACATTACATTGATAAATTAAGGCAAATCCTGAAATATTTTTAAAGTGCGTTTTTTAATGAAATATTATCCAGCAAGTATTTAAATGAAACGGTCTTATTTAAATACAAATCATAACATGATATTTTTCATGAAACATTTTTCAATGAAATTCAATTGAAGGGTCAAGATAAAACGAGCTAATTTAGGTGAAAACCCTTACATGATGATGTGTTTTCATAACTTCTTTCATAAAATTCCATCAAGGGGTGAAGATAAAATGATCGAATTTAAGTGATTTAAGGATCACGAGAATATGTTTTCTTTGATATTTTCTATGAAATCCCATCCAATGGTCAAGGTAAAATTTTGATTTTGATTTTGATTTGGTCACGTGTTCGAAAGATCCATATAAGGCCCATAGAACCATATAGGAACGTCATTTTGAATGTCACGTGATAGATCCATATAAGGCTTTTGGAACCATTTATGGAAAGATGAGGGAAGCCCCTGACACCTGTTTCACGATTTTTATGCACTTCATTATTGTACCGAAGTTTGCCGATTTTTTTTTTATTTTTGATCTACTTTTTCTGGATTTTGCCCTACTTATTATATCTTGACAAGCAAATCAAAAAGTTCGACATGAACGGGTCTCGATCAACTAACCTAGACTATGGAAGCCAGGCACGCTAACCATGAGGCCAACGAGCTACCGATATGAAAGAACAAAAGTATTATATATTTATACCGAGCGTCAATTCAAAATGATCCTCACTTTTGTCTCCACTTAAATACGACTCGTCAGTTGTATCCAGAATAGTAGAACGCCTATGGCGCTAGTGAATAACCAAGTCCCAGGTGAGTGGTTCGTATCCCTCCGTGATATACTATTTTTGTTTTATTAAATACGACAGAAAGGAGCAAGGTGTAGGTTGAAAACAAGACGTTAGTTTGTTTCAAAACAGTTTGGAAACATTAATCTCTGGAACATTATTTTTTCAACACTGATACAAATTTCCCTGACATTTCCCTGACATGTCTACCGTTTCAAAATTCATCTTTGGCCCTTTTGACCTAATTTTAAAATTACCTGACATTTCCAGCACTTGGAAAATCAAGTCAATTTCCCTGACATTTCCAGGTGTGTATGAACCCTGGAAATATCCCACTGGTTCGCCCTATGAATCGCTAGCACAGATTGGATTGATTAGTGTTTCAAAATGGTGGACGAAATGTTTGATTAGATAATTTACATATTAAGCTTCTTAAAGGGGCAACAAGGCCTGTACATAGAAAATTCGAAATTTTTTACATTTTCTGAATTTTTAGGGCAACATTTGGCTTTAACATCTTTTTTATACATTTTTTCTTAAAATGTATGGATAAACAATAAAATTTCAGCATTAAGCAGTGCAAATTCAGTTCAAAGCTTCTATAAAGGGAGTCCAACTTATAGATTTTGAAAATCCGACTCGTTTAAAGAAGAATATCAGCAGCTTAAATCACGCCTTGTGATCATACAAAATGGATGGAGGGGGGGGGGGGGTAGGCGATTTCTGCAAGAAAACTCAACAAATTTGGAAGATTTATTTTTTTCAAGATAAAATTTACAACTGAATTGCCAAATGAATAGGCGCAGTGCATGGCAAAATATGTAAGGTCTTCTAGTATTCTTTGAACTGATACGCTTCTAAGATATGAGATCTATTATAAAAGGCGCATCATCATCATCATCATCATCAACGTGCAAAAGTCAATGTTTTTGCTATAAATCAGGCAACAATGGTCTACACGACCTGTAATAAATAGGTATGAGGGGCGTTATTAGAGAATTTTCGTTATAAGTTTTTTAAAAACTTATACGTATACTTATACTTATAAACCCAATAAACAAGGTGTTTCATAATTTCCTAATTCGTCGGGAAATATCTCCTAGGACGGTAATAAAAAGGGCCAATGGCATACCATCCGTACCCCCTTGATGTAAAGCATGTTTAGTTGTGTCATATGTGTTTTCTAGAATCAAATAGGCTGATATAGCACACGGGTTTTACAGATTTATCTACTCTCAAATATATTTTTTGTAGATGATCGTTTTGAATCACCTTGTAGAAATAACGAAGGGAGAATTAGTTCAGCTAATGAATGAGTCGAGCTATTTGATTGGATACTATGCCTATTCAGCCGATTAATTTTAATAAGCCATTCTGGTCAGTAGGTCCACACATATACTATGCGGAGATCCAACTCTGTAAGTTTATAATCTGCGTATAAAGGCCCTTTTATACGTAAAAACTTAAAAATTGACCTTATAATTTCATGAGAACTTTGAAATGATCGACTCGTTCGTGTAGTGATTCACTTTAAAGGGTCTTGTTTATCGTACACTACAAGGACCCGTCAACTAGAATTTAGTTTATCGTGTTCATAATTGACACTAGCAAAGGACATTGTATTCGCAGTCCCTAGTTGATGATGAAGCTTGACTATATCGGGAATAGTTATGCCCCACTTGGTACAGATTAATGATGAAAATCAATTTGAATTGATTTTAGTTCGACAAGACACTTTAAACTATAAGTATACGTATAAGTTTTTGAAACAACTTATAACGAAAATTCTCTATTATCACAACACTGACATTGCTCACTTTTAAAAGTTGTTTCAAAGCGTTATATGTAAATGGGCGTGTGGAAGGCCCGTGGGTGGCAATAAAATAACTCGAACTTCAAATTAAAATATATATAAAATAGTATATTTCAAACTTCAATGATTAAAATACAATGCTCTGTAATGTACAACATGAACTCTTACAGCAACTACTGACAAGCCAACACCCAATGCAAACTCAGCTACATGTGAGTGAGAAAGACCATATTGGGGAACAATAGATATATAAAACTGACACAGTTTGCATAGTTGAATAACTCAAGGTGAAAAGTGAACATGGTATTAAAAGAGTAAAACTGCAAACAACCTACTTAGGGACCTGTTATATTGAGATGAATAGGGATTGATTAATATGAACAGTAATAATATAAAATGTGAAAATGACCATGTTACATATACAAAAAATAACCCCATTGTTACAAAATCACAAAAAGTGAAATATCTATTCTTGTATTGCACTGGACATATTTTAATTGCATTGCTATTAGATACATTTTAAGGGTGATATGAAAATTGAACCACGAAAACAGATGTAATTTAAGTTAAAGGGAACTTTCTACCATACCCGCCATGCTATCTGACCCGAACGAGCCACCTTGTGGTGAGATTGGTAACTACCTGCTCGCATCTGCGTTATTACGCAGAGACATAAACGTATACACAAGGAAACGATAGGAGATAACCTATTTTATCTCTGTATACATTTTAACTTTAATACATCGTTGAATCGAATTTGTCCAAAGGTCTTGAAACGTAAAATACCTAAATATTTATCTTAGACCTTGGGATGACCTTGTACAAGAAACATTAATGTTGACCTCGGTTCATCTAATCATAATTCGCCAAGGGCCATAGTATCATCAAACGCCAAATACCTAGACATTGATCGTTTACTTGGATTTAAATAAGGAGTATGATTTTAAAATTGGCTAGGTCGTGGTTAAGCAACAATAGTATGTTCGAAATACCGCTGTGTAATGCCTGGATCACATTTGCTGCGAGTATTTTGTTCAAAATTGAATACATTTCTGAACACAATACTCAATCGGCCGGGCGCCGTAGTGAAAATCGGAGCAAATGTGACCAAGACATAAAACAATTGAATAATACTGTATCAGTTTCACATTTACAGCGGTCAAAAGCATTTACAAAAAAAAACCGCCAGAGTTGGCAATCATATAAAATGAAACCAATCCCGCTGTGATTCATAGAAATAACTAATTTACTGCATTGAGTTCAATGTTATAACCATGTCGATTTACATGAGTGTCCGATTCATTGTACCAAATTTAAACCTTGACTGTTTTCCAGAAAGCAATAAGCTGACATATATCATATTTTACATTTTAATACAACTGAAAAGATAATAAATGTTTTAATATAAAGTTGACGTAGTTATAAATGTTTTCAGCGTAAAATCAAAGCACAACTATATAATTAAAAACATAACGCTGGGATTCCAACTGGATACAACTGACGAGTTGTATTTAGGTGGCCTAAAGTGCTGCTTATTTTTTCGTGAAGCCACTCAGTAAAATTACGATTTCTCTCAACCCTGATGTTCAATCAACATCATTCGAGTATCTATATGTTCCTGACACGTTCGGGCATCCGGTTATGACAACGTCTACCCAATGTTTGCACGAGAAATTGACGTAATTCATGACTGAAATCGGGAAGACAAAAATATGTGATATTCTTTCAGAATTGTTTATAATAACTATTAACAAAAACGTTCCCGAGACACAATCCATTTAGGTAGGGTTTGTTTTAAAGTCGAAAAGCCCCAATAAGACAATACAAACCCAGATTAAACCCAGAAGAATGCAGATTTCATGTAATGATTTACGTTCATGTAAACAAGGAAAGTACATATAATCCCCATATAAAACACTTGCCTACGTGACATATAAACACAGGTTCAAATTGAAATATAGAAAATTTTCAACATAGCATTTGCTTCTGTGTTCTGTATGCCCCTCTACCTGCTAATAAGGCAATGTATCTTCAAATAAAACCTTAGCCAAGTAGGTAAGGGTCTCTGGAACACTTTTGTAAATAGTTTTCACAAGCAATTTTATTCCCGGACGCCCAAACGTGTCAGGAACACATATATATTTGAATGATCTTGATTGGACATCAGGTTGCAGAGAAATCGTATTTTTACTGAGTGGATTATTGAATTTCATAGATCTAGAGGCCCTTCAGGAGTGGAAAACCTTAAATTATCAGAGATTAATGTTTCCAAACTGTTTTGAAACAAACTAACGTCTTGTTTTCAACCTACACCTTGCTCCTTTCTGTCGTATTTAATAAAACAAAAATCACGGAGGGATACGAACCACTCACCTGGCACTTGGTTATTCACTAGCGCCATAGGCGTTCTACTATTCTGGATACAACTGACAAGTCGTATTTAAGTGGAGACAAAAGTGAGGATCATTTTGAATTGACGCTCGGTATAAATATATAATACTTTTGTTCTTTCATATCGGTAGCTCGTTGGCCTAATGGTTAGCGTGCCTGGCTTCCATAGTCTAGGTTAGTTGATCGAGACCCGTCCATGTCGAACTTTTTGATTTGCTTGTTGTCAAGATATAATAAGTAGGGCAAAATCCAGAAAAAGTAGATCAAAAATACTCCAATGGAGTATAAAATTGTCACCAGGATTCCGGAATGAGACGAATGTTAACTCGTGAAATCTCGGTAGATAAGGTAGGTCAGAAAATCTCGATTAATCCGAACAAGGTTCGGGAATTTCCGTCATAAGAAGTAGGTCAAAAATACTCCAATGGAGTATAAAATTGTCACCAGGATTCCGAAATACGACGAATCGAATCGGCAAACTTCGGTACAATAATGAAGTGCATAAAAATCGTGAAACAGGTGTCAGGGGCTTCCCCTCATCTTTCCATAAATGGTTCCAAAAGCCTTATATGGATCTATCACGTGACATTCAAAATGACGTTCCTATATGGTTCTATGGGCCTTATATGGATCTTTCGAACACGTGACCAAATCAAAATCAAAATCAAAATTTTACCTTGACCATTGGATGGGATTTCATAGAAAATATCAAAGAAAACATATTCTCGTGATCCTTAAATCACTTAAATTCGATCATTTTATCTTCACCCCTTGATGGAATTTTATGAAAGAAGTTATGAAAACACATCATCGTGTAAGGGTTTTCACCTAAATTAGCTCGTTTTATCTTGACCCTTCAATTGAATTTCATTGAAAAATGTTTCATGAAAAATATCATGTTATGATTTGTATTTAAATAAGACCGTTTCATTTAAAAACTTGCTGGATAATATTTCATTAAAAACGCACTTTAAAAATATTTCAGGATTTGCCTTAATTTATCAATGTAATGTAAGTATTAGATTGACTCTCAAATAGGGTTCTATTTTAACTTTTTTATTGAAATTAATACTAGGCAGGACTCACTCTCTAAATAGCTAATAAAAATTCAACCCTTGGATGTGATTTTTCGTTGAAAAAAAATATGACAAGTCCAGAATCAAATGATTTGTCCAGAACCTCTTAAGATCCTGTTATGAAACAAAATTTCGGAACCGTTAAAAAAGTAATGAAACACCTGGCTGTTTAATGATAGACAGCACCACCATTTTGATAATTTCTCCTTCGTTGCCATAGCAACCAGGTAAACCATGGGCTTAATGACTATGGCCAGTCATTGTTTTGCACAACTATCTCACAAAATATCTGCTTATTATCAACTGTGACACAGGGATTTCCAAAAATGAATAGCCTAAGGTTTTGATGCTTACATGAAACACGGACTCCATAGCTTCCCTTGCTTCACTGTCTCTTCCATCGTCACCTATCCAAGACTCGTTACCATAGAGCCAAACATCAGTAGGTACCTGTCCAAACATGGTTTGTGGACGTCAGAATAAAATATAACAAGTTTTAAAAATATGTTAGAAATTTTAGAAAATAGGGATATATGGAAGAATATTCAAACGCTATGAAAGCAAGGGCATCTAAAATAATCCATAATTAGCTTGAAATGACAATAAAAAGTTAAGCAGCACGAAGTCGAAGAATTTGAATCGTGTGCATTTATCCAGTCTACTATGTACAGAGATAAGACATTAATTCACTCAAGGAACATAACATCACACACCTGTTCCAGCGTCCAATAAACGTACTCATTGGATGTCATCCCAAGATCGTATGCCACCAACATAAACTGCCTAATCTTCAGTATCTCTATGGCCATTATAACAACTACAACAGAATTTGTATCCATATACTAGAAGAAGCTGGCATTGTTCAAATTAATTATTTAAAAAATACCGAAATTAATATCAAAAATCATATATTGAAATATACTAAAATACTTCTTCCAAGACTTTGAACACTTCTCAGGACAGTTTCTATATTTTCGTCTGTAGTTTCATTGGGTTTGATTTGCAGTGTCGTTAGGCGTATTCCAAGCGTGCGGAACTCTCGTTTTATGGCATTCTCGATTTGCAAAAGATCGTCTGTTTCTTCGGTTACCATGACAGCGGTTGTCCAGTTGTAGTATTGAACTATTGCGCCAATGATATCACCTAATGAAGAAACATAATCTTTTAAATTTATAAAACAAAAGCCATGCACAACAGTCACCCTTAGACTGTTCACCCCTTAGACGTTGCATTTTCTAAATCACTTGGTGAAATCGATAAAATAATATATAAAAAGATGTTTTATTTTCAGATATTTGTGTAAAAAGATGCGTAATAATACAGTATTTCCATTCAGTATTGTAATTATTATATTATATTATGAAGGAAAAAAATATAATCAGCATAATATACTACATTATATAGAGATTAATATGATATAATTAGAAATAAGTGAGATCCAAATATATTATTTGTACATATACACATTTAACAAATCCCATCATCTCAATAAGAAAATGTAGCAGAATGTTTTATTCCCGGTATAATATTCTTTTTTAGAATTATTTGCGCCAATTTATATTTATTCTGTCTTTCTAAAATATTATTTGGTCATATTTATCAATCCAAACTGATGATTGCAGTCTATTTAGATTTTTTTCTATTTTAAAAAATATTATTTTCTAGTATTTTCCAATCTAAGCAGAATATATCAAATTATATTGTATTATTTGGGCTCTAAAAAATATTATACTCGATTATTCTCGTCCAACTTGATGTACAATCCATCTTGTTAATTACTTAACCAAACAAAACAAAGAATGCACAGCATGGCAGTTAATAGGATTAACCGTTCTACTGGCCTTCTCATCTCTATTACTTACACATGTCACACATATTTTATTTTGACTGTTCTATTTCTATTTGAAAAATATTTACAAATAAATGTTTAGAAGAAAGAAATTTAACTTGTTTTAAATTAATGTTAACAATGGAGTAAAAACGTGGAAAAGTCATCAATTAAAAATCAAATAATTAACTTTCCAATGAGTTAATCGATTCAATCAAAATTTTAACACAATGTTAATCATAGAAAGAGGGATTTTATACAATTAAACAAATATGTAAAACTTAAGTTGCAAATTATTATTTTTGTGGAAAATAAAACAATCGGCTCTAGATATTAATCCATTCACTCTAACAAACGGATTAACTCTAACAATCGGATTAGTTATCAGTGAACAAAACTCATTTCATAGAAATTGGAAAAAACTTAGAGATTAAAGTATTACTTATATTGCTCTGTCATCAATACATGTACATACAGTGTATATGTGAATGGTGAAAATCGTCATGATTTTGAAAGAATTGTTGGCCAAGGGGAGGGCATCGTTACTCGTTAGGTACGGGCTGGTATAAAATGCGTAATGTTTTTAGCTAAAATTTGAGCAGTTCTGTGTCAAGACTATTTTTGTGGTTGGCAGAGTGAATACGGGTGGTTGTTTGTGCCTGTGTAAGAGTGGCGTTTAAATGTTGTTTGTTGTTAACTTTATATGGCAGAGAAACAATGGAGTAGAAATGTGAGGAAACCCATTGATTAAAAATTAACTTTCCGTTGAGTCAATCAATTTAATCCAAATTTTAACACAATGTTAATCATAACATAAGGGACATTATAGAATCAAATAAATATGAAAAACTTGGTTTTTAAATTATTTTTTGTGGAACTTAGAACTGTTGGCTGTAGGAAATTAATCCATCGCCTCTAACAAACGGATTAGCTTTCAGTGTTAACAAAACTCATATTAAAGAAATTGAATAATTGGGGATTAAAGTTTTACTTATCATATTTTTCTGACATACATGTACTGTATGTCAACATGTTATTTACATCAGTTTGTTCTACCATGCACCAATTTGCTCAAAGCGTAATCATCGCTATGTCAGATGAAACATTAGGAATAAATGTAAAATGTGCCGCTTCTTTATTTTCATTATCAAACAACTAAACATACCGAATATACATTTGGAAATGGAAAACAAAAAATTAATCAAAACCAGCTTTAATTAAAATGGTTCAAGTGTAGTAGAAACAAATGTATAACATCATGGACTAATCTGTTGTTTATATCCCCAGTTTATATCTCAGATATATGGATAACAGAAAATGCATGAATTGTGAAATGTGAGAGAATACACGTTTTAATTTTGTTTTAGCATGGCTTAACACCACTTGTATCAGTTAACCTAATGTACCTTTCTTATTTATTATCAGCGATTTGCCAGAAGAAATCGGAGCAATACATGTACATCTAATATAATACAGGCTCGGAATAAGTTTTAGCCCAGGGGATCAATTTTCAAAACAAACCAAGGGGTCACACTTGATCATTTTGGCCCGAAATCACTTAACAGTGCTCAGATTGGTAAAAATGTAGGATTTTGAAAGAATTTTGGCAAGGGGGGGGGGGGATTTACTTGAACCCCCCCCCTCCCTGGCCATGGACCTTTACCAAATTCGTAATGTATTTATATATAGCAGTTTCGTGTCATAAATGTTTTGTGTTGTTTGTGAAATGATTAAAGGTGTTTGTGTCTGTGTAAGAGGGGGCTTTAAGTGTTGTTTGTTGTAAACTTAATTTGACAAAAAAACAATTGAGTTAAATTGTGAGGAAACCCAATAGAGTAAAAATGTGAGGAAACCCATTGATTAAACATTAACTTTCCGTTGACTCAATCAATTAAATCCAAATTTTAACACAATGTTAATCATAACATAAGGGACATTATACAATCAAATAAATATGAAAAACTTAATTTGCAATTTATTTTTCAGTTGAAATTAGAACCATTGGCTGTGGAAATTAATCCATTAACTCAAACAAACAGATTATTTATCAGTGTGAACAAAACTCAAATCATGGAAATTGAATAATAAGGGATTAAACTTTGACTTATTATATTGCTCTGGAATGTCAATACATGTATGTGAATGGTGAAAAACTACATGATTTTGACAGAATTGTTGGCCACAGGGAGGGGGTCCTCGGCTACGGGTCTGTATAAAATGCGTAATGTGTTTATTGAATATTGAGCAGTTCCCTGTCATGACTGTTTTTTCCGGTTGGCAAAGTGAATACAGGTGGTTGTTTGTACCTATGTAAGAGGGGATCGATTTAAATGTTGTTTGCTATAAACTTAATGTGACAGATAAACAATGGATTAAAAATGTGAGGAAAACAAATTAATTAAAAATTCAAAAATTAACTTTACAATGAATTAATTGATTGAATCAAAAATTTAACACAATGTTAATCATAACATGAGGGACATTATACAATCAAATATGTATGTAAAAACTTATTTTGCAAATTATTTTTGTGGAATTAAAGGAATATTCCTTGCCAGACCCTTTCTCTCTTGATATGGTAGCTATAATAATATATATAGTTTCCATATTTAGCAAAACATGGGAAAATGTTTTAATATGGTCATTATTGATCATTTAAAAATCTAGTGCTTATTTCCAGTGAGCTGCCATCTTTTAAGATTTCTTGCGTGTTTTGCTAAACATGGCAAGCATATATATGGTTATAGGTATCATATGAGGAAAGAGATGGTTTGGCAAGGAATATTCCTTTAAGAGCCATCAGCTGTAGAGATTAATCCATTAACCCTAACAAACAGATTAATTATCAGTATGAATGAAACTCATTTCATAGGAATTGAATAATTAGGGATTAACGGCTCGAAAATAACCACGTATAATAGGTTTTTGATTGCAAATTCCAACATATTATTTGCTCCTGACAGGAATATTATTCTATATTATTTGGCATTATATGTTGTTCCCTTTAAATAATACACGAATAATATTATTAAATCAAAAATAATTCTTAAAAATACGTATTATATTTTTTTCCAATATAATAAAAGAAATAACTGCCTATTATACAGGTAAGAATATTCTCTACGATTCTCTCTTAATGCAACTTATTTAGCAGTATATTAAACATTTTATTCTATATTATTTTTACTTTTTTACCAAGTGAATATTGGTGGTTATGTTGGAAGAACTTGAACGTCAGCTTGTAATATAACCACGGGAAAAAGCGTAAATAAATTCCTTTCTATGTTTTAGCCTTACCTAATTTATCCAATGGCCCAAGTGAGCGAACCAGAGTTGAATAGAGGCTTTTATCGCTCAGTCCTCTGTCACTGGAGATCCATCCAAATACGGGAATATTCCAATAAGATGCCAAAAGTGCAACTGGTTCCATGGCTTTTTAAAATATTACATCATATTAGTATATTGATGCCAATCCCATTGAAAATCAGCATATCTAAGCTTGTTACAGAGATTCTACGGGACAAATAGTTATTTCTAGGTGATAACAATTTAATATGACCATTTTAGTCCGATCATTTTTCCCAGTTCAGCATCACGTGTCCTCTGGAACCGTGAAATTATTATAGGAATATCCTATGGGTGTGAAAAATATAATTTATATCCGTTAGATGATATCAATATCTTCACGAGTGAGTGCAGCGAGTGAGTGAAGATATCTATATCCATGAATGGATGTATATGATATGTTTATCCCATGGGAAATCATCATCAGTGAAAAAATTGAAAAAATATATCTAAATTTTATTCTTTCAATATTTGTTTTTATAGAAATTCAAAAATTCAAAAAAATATATATATATTTTATTTATTTAAATTTAGAAAATAAAATTCTTTTTAACAAATGATAAAAAATTGAAAAAACGAAACCATCGAATATCACTTTTGAAACCATCGAATATCACCTTTTAAAAGTTTTAAAAGTGATATTCGATGGTTTGGGGATTTTTTGCTGAAATATGATATCTTGATCCACATATCAGATATATCTTCACGTGATATTCGAACTATATCCTTCTAACCATGGGATAATGCTGTATAATATTGTTTTGAACTTTTGAATTTTGAAGTAAAAACAAGATGGGAGGGTTTATATATATCATTTTATCCTTCAATAGCTATTCTACAAGCAATCGAACGAGCGCATGAGTAATTAATATTCAAAGATTATTGTTCAAAGGCATTTATTACTGTATACGTGGCATTTAATTCGAGTAGTTAAGTTGGCGAATGGACAAATTTTAGAATTTTCCTAATTTGATATTCCTAATGACAAGAAACTTCCCATTGGAAACATTATGAACAAGATAATATTTCCGACATTTAATTTTCCGAACCTGGCAAAAATTAGGCAATAGGCAAATCAAAATATTAGGCAAAATAACCATTTGGTATATGTCTATATTGCATTATTCTATGATTGTTAAATGTACCTTCAGAGCAAGGGGGTCCGAGGAAGACGTCCACTGTTCTATTAATGTAAAGTTCTACAGCTGTTCCAGCGGCCATCTTGTTGTTACAGTGACAATTGTACCACTCGACTCTGGAAATATATCAGTATCAGTATAATATTATATAAAAGACCTAATTCAATGTTCGAGTCAGCCTCCTTTTGAATCATGGAGAATGGAATTCAATTGTACCCTGCAATAGCTTTTGTCGCATACTTTGATTATAATGTAGAAAAATATCCGACATGAGTTTGCAAGTGACATTTTGTATATTCTACTTTAACTTATTTTGACATACTCATTTATTTAGAGATTGAAGTAATATTGCCAAATTGGTATTTTGGTATAATGTACCATTTCAACTGATATATTGGATTAAAGTTGTATAAAGATCAAAGCAATATCAAAAAACAATTCTGGGATATTATCTGGCCACTTTAGGTCTAAGCAGAGAGGCATTTTAGTATATACCAATACTATCTCGCAATGTAAAAATGTACTTATTGAAATCAAGAAAATACATAGCCATTAATTAAGCAGTCTTCCTGACCATATTTGGCTTCTTCGTCGTTATCAGGAAATAAAATATGATCGTAATATTTGATGATCAACAGACCTTCTATCATTCCAATTAACCTGTCGTCAAAATCTGCGGCAGCTTTGGACTATTGATCCCAAACAGAAGTAATCCCCGGTCCGGTATTTGTACAAATTGCAATCTTGCACTTTTATTTCATTTTTACATTTGAAATTTATAGATATGGTCAATGACGCCTTTAAGCCGTACACGAAAGGCTACTTTAGCATAAGATAAATATTTCCACGGTTTCTATGGTAATCTGCAATGTTTCTAAGTACCAAAATAGAATCAAACAATTATGGCTTATTATTCGACTGTTCTTATTATCATTTTATAAGCTGATAGCTACAATTAAACAAATATACACTCCCCTCCATAAGTTTAGCAATAGGAATTCCCCTTTAAATCACGTACATGTATCAAACTCTATTTATGATTGGCGGTTCAAGATATCATTAAATTTGTGCAAATGTCCAAAGTTTTATAATTAAGGAACAAAATTAAGATGCAAAATACAAGCTTTATATACCTTTTTAAGATCGTTAAAAATTTAATTTAAAGTTTTGAATTTGATATCAGAGAAATCCAAAGGTATATTTTCCGGACCTCGTCGATAGCGGAGTACTAGCTTATAAGGAATAGCCATCCCTCTCCCTATATACTAAAATATACAGGGTGGTCAAAAAATGGAAACCCTGCAATTTCCTTATATCTTTTTCATTTTGAAAATTTATTGAATGGTATTTAACACATTTGTAGATCATCAACTTCATACCACCCTGCCATATTTCATGACAATCAGACTGATAGTCACAATTTTACAGCACTTTGAATAACATGCTTCAGGTTTGGCCATCATCGCGCTGTAGGCAAACCTGCACAGTTGTCAATGGCCCGGATGCATTCCTTATTAGGTATGGCCTCATGACACGGATGATCTCACTTTTGAGGTTTGCAATTGTCCTGAGGTCATTCTCATACACTCTATCTTTTCCATATATCCCCACAAGGTAGGGACATTTTGGACGACGAGTGCAGGTTTTTCGATGGTCATGAAATAAAGTAGACTGGTAGGAAATTGATACATACAAATGTGTAAAATATCAGGAAGTTATTTCTTAAAATGACAAAAGATATAAGAAAAATGGTGTAAGGGTTTCCATTTTTGACCACCCTGTACTATAAACCCCCGCACGTAATGTACCTAGAACTTTAGTAGGTATGGGATACTATTTATATTTTATGCCAAGCATTAACAAATACAATGTCAACATACCTTATTACAACGCGTAAATGAAAATTGTACTCACAAATATTGCTTAATTGCCTCCGGAAAATATTTGCTCAAAAGGAAATAAATCAATCTCAACGTACAATTATCAAATTCATTAGCATCCATTTTTGATTAATGACTTTTCAAATAAGTGCTGATTTGCTAATGTATATCTAGAAAGTACTTATACTTAACAAGGTCCTCGAAATTATATTAAAATGACAGATTTGACTTAAGGAATAAATAATGATAGGCCATTCAATATGGTGAAATTCAGCACGAGTTGGACAGAATGTTGTACAAAGCACGAACCGAAGGTGAGTGCATTTGTACTAACATTCTGTCCAACGAGTGCTGAATTTCACCATATTGAATGGCCTATCATTATTTATTCCGATTCAAACATAAAAATTAGTAAAAGCCGTGTCTGTGGAACGGGCATGAAGGAAGAATACCCATGCTGTCAAGATTCTGAAGTCGGCCGGAAAAATTTTAGAATTTGTTTGGGTTGTTCTATTTTACTCCCCGTTTTAGATTTTATACGGTGTAGGCCTATGCAAACATGGGGTGTTGATAAAATAAAAATAAATAAGGGAGTAAAAAAGAACAGCTATCCCCGGACAGAGCCCTAGATGTGCAGCTGAGATGTGACGTCACTCAAAACAATGCAAATTGCGGATTGAATAGAGCATGGTCGTGCATCTATGGAGAATTAGAGAACGTTCTATATTGGCTATGCTGCATTCTGATTGGTTGAGAAATTCGAATAGAGCACGGTCATGTTTGACTCGGAATTTCAGCTAATTGTCCGTAATGATAATGTATCACTGGTAATCGAGTGCTCGAACACACTTATAAATCACAATGAGAATAGGGTAACGAACAGGTAAAATGACCAGAAATGTTTTATGTTCTAGCGAATGACTTTTTCAAAAATCATTTTCTTTTGAAAATATTTTTATTGCATTCCTTATCGTGTCTTTTCTTCAAAGATCCCATAATGAATTTATTCTGTGTTCCAGTTTTTTACATTCATATATAGATATTCATATTTGTCATTCGTGGAAAATTTAAACATTTTTGCACATTGAATAGATAACTTTGAAAAAGATTGGTAGGTCAATTGTACACGTTGCTTGCAATTTTTCGCCCTCTATATGTCATATTCAGCCTTTAGAAGATAGATTAAGTACAAGTATACACGTGAAAAAAATGCGATGGAAAAATCTCGGATAAATATGTGGAAAATTACATCTCACTACACCCTGATATGGCCAGAAACTAGCACAACAATTTTGTAGAAACGTGAACAGAAACTTTTATAAAGTTATGAGTATGAAAGATATATTGAGAGCATGAAAAATAGTTTTCCATGCCGATGTTTTTCTCAACAATACACATGCCTTGTATCAACTAGCAAATTCCCAAAATTAACCACACTAGACATCAGAAATTATGGTTTATAGAGAAAAATGTAGAAAAATGTCTGAGTAATGATTTCCATCTGTAAAAGTAATTTATACCGCCATTTATCTCGATCGTTCATTAACACAATCCAGATTGTTATTCATACAGGATGACACGGAGCTTTTTCCCGGGGGGTGGGGGGGGGGGCTTTTTGGCATTGCATGATTTTGAAAAAAATTCTGGCCAGGGGCTTCCGCTTGTAGCAAACTATCAAGATTCTAGTTCGATTGCGTAGAGCGCTTTTGACTGATAGTTTAAAACAAACAATTGTGACATTTCATTTGCCCAGAAATTGCATAATTTGTCTGGCGTTGTTGAAGGATTGGCCTGCTTTATCTGATACCCATGCCAGTATTATTGGAATTATTGAAGGTCAACCCTATGGAAACAGGAACCACTCCATACACTTATTACTTGTGTTCATTGTACTGGGTCGACTGGTACGTGAAGGCGACGAACGTCAACGTAACATGGTCAAAATGAGCTAATCGTTCATATAATGTTTCGGGGATGAATCAAATTGATTGACTGATTCTTGTTTTGTTGTAGACTATTTTGAAGGATCTTCGAGCAGTGACGTTTGTTTCCTCCAGCTATAGCGAAACGATAACGTATCGATACTGTCTAAATTATTGTCTAGACTATTTCTATGTTTCTATGTATATCATGTCAATGTATGACCATGGATGTAGAATGTAGACAATGTAGAATATGCTATGTGAAGCAAGCGGATTAAGTTGGAAGTGCACATTTAAAACAGACATTGTTATCCAATAGCTATCGGTCATCGTACGATTCCAAGATTTAGAAGATCAACCACGTATACCATTTCTAAGAACAATAAGTTCCAGGCCAGTGAAAAAAAATTAAAAAAGATTTAGTTATAGAAAGCAAAAGTTCTGACCTGCTGTTCCCGCCATCTATACAAATTTCTTAGAAATTGGCGTATGAATCTGATCAAACAGTGCATGTCACAATGTTACAATATAAATATGTTCATTTTCCATGATAATTTTGATCATAATACACGTTATTTCAACAATTCAACATGCATCACTGTCACATTTTAATTCAAGATGGCGCTGCAGAGTACTTTCAGGAACTATATTCACAGTTTTAAACATGAATTTTGTCCACTCCACTTAGCGGAGGGATCTAACTGCGTACTTAGGCCTAAATACTTCCCAATGGTCAAATGTCATCATGTTCCTAATTTTAATTTTCCTAATGACAAAACTTCCCATAGGATAGCATTATATAGATAATATTTCCGACATTACATTTTCCGAACCTGGCAAAAATTAGGCTATATAAAAATTACTTCTTATAGAACACCGTGTGGAATACCTCACCAATATTTGGTATTTCGCTGTAAAATCGATTAGCATTTGTTCGCTCATGTTTGTTACACAAAGAAATGGAAATGTTTAGGAAATAATTAGGGCAACATGATAACATTAAATTAACCAGACCTGAATTCGAAATCTATGTTGTCAAACGAACTTATAAAACATATTTTATCAGTCGGAACTCCTTTGAGGGTAACTCGTTAAGCTCCATCAGAATGAATCAAACGAAGATTAAACTTCTGTTGATTATCTCATTAATTTATTAATACCTAGACCATGGCATAAACCATATGATTATGTTAACATTATAATTGCAACAATAAAGAACGCAATTTGTTATAAGTATATTATTTTATATGTTATTGGCTTTCCCCATCCATGAGATTTTAGGGTCTCGATGCAAAATGACGTACAAAATAAACC